ACAGGCCACCAAACCCGTGTTTTGCACAGAAGCTGGCGTGGTTAGATAGTAATATGTCAGTTCAAAAGCCCATCACAATTTTCTGCCACTCACACACAGTTTTTCCAGGTCACACCCATACTGGGAAGAAACCTGGGAACTGTAGTTTGCTAAGGATACTGGGGGTTACTGCTCTGCGAGGTGTAAACTACCACTCCCAAGGTTCTTTGAGCGAAGCCCTGTGCTTTAAATGTGTGTTAAGTGTTCTTCTAATGCTGTGCTCCTGCAAAGGAGTGTTGTATTCAGGTCTTAACTGGACATGTAGCAGAATCAGGCGACAGAAGTCCGGAAGGGGTTTCCAAACTCAGGAAAGTGAGCGTGGTGGAGCAGGGAGCTTCTGCAATGATTCAGGTCAGACTGAGGGGGCTTCCAGACTTTTGCTGTTTTTAGGTGGGATGCAATCATGTGCCAGGAAATAAAGTTTGTGCATTTGTACTGGATTGGGTGGTCTTGTGCAAGGAACTGACATCTTCAAAAGATAGGAAAGGAAGATAAGGAAAGTGGCTGCAAAATGCACTGGAAGGTATGGGGTAACTCAGCACCATCTAAGCACTCTGCAAACAAAACTGAATGAATGCTCAATAAATAGCCAACGTTGTCTAGCCTCCATGCAAACAAATTGATTGCTGAATAAACAGGTCATCTGGAAGAGCCGGAAGAGCTCCTATAGAAACTGGATAGACCCATGCCATCCTGGTTGTCAGCCAGCTTCTGATATGGGTGAGTGTTTCCATGAGCTTTCCCCAAGCACGTATGTCTGGCAGAAGGCCAGCCCACCCATGAGGCAAGGTGAAATGTCTGCCTCAGGCGGCAGGATCCACAGAGGCAGCAGATCTGCCCCTCAAGGAATGCATCCCCTGCTGCCGCTGCCGCTGCCACCACAGTGTCTGTAGCATGGGTCGGCAAACTAAGGTCCGCGGGCCAGATCAGGCCCATTTGCCTTCTAGATCTGGCCCACGGACGGTCTGGGAATCCAGGCAGCCAGCATAGCGCGCACGCGATGGTTTTGGCGACTCAGCCAGGCTTGGGGGTCAAAAGTGAGGCGGGCGGATGCTTGAGACCAGCCCCTTCTCCATCCATCTTTCCTTCTGGAGTGGGGGTGGGGAAGAGGGAAAAGGAGCCACAGTTCGGATTTCCACCATGGAACTGCCAGCGACTGACCTCAGGAAAAGTAGTTGTGGAGGCAGGGACTCGGAGGCGCCTTGGGAGTGACGCCCGCTGGTGTCTGTGTTGGCGGTGCTCCCTGCCAAAGGAAGCGGGGAGCACCTGGGCGGCTGCACTCTCAAGCAGTTCTGTGCTCTGCTGGGGAGGCCACTTGTTAGCTACATGGTTCAAGCCATGGAAAGGTAAATAGCCACCACCTCATCTTCCCTCACACAGGGAAAAGAACGTTTTTGCTTGAGCGGCACTAGCCTGACTTAGCGTGGCCAATGGCTTTTCCCTTCACCCCCACATGCGCACATGCAGGGGAGTCTTACCCATAGAGGCTAGTGGCGTGGAGCACCGGGGCACCAGGTTTTAGAGGGTACTAGGGAAGAGGAGGAGGCTGGACGTGGCGCCTCCCAGCATCAGCTCACCGCCCTCGCCCACCTCTGCCATGCCGCGCCAAAGCAGCGCGCCCGGAGCCTCTGTCTGCTGTGGCCACTGCAGCACGAAGCTGCCAGCTGAGCCAGGAGGTGCTGCATCCAGCCTCCACCTCTTCCCCACTGGAGGAGCCACCCTCCAGCCACTGCCCACCTCCTCCAGCCCCGCTGGCAGTGCCATCCTCCCTAAAAAACTCTGGGAAACCGGGGGGGGGGGGGGGCGCCGGAGGGAACTTTGCACCACGGCACCGGATATGCTTAAGACGGCCCTGCGTACATGCTCTCCAGGGCTGACAGGAGAAATAATAATTCTTATGAGAGAAATAATAAATGTCAATGCATAATACGCAAAGGAAGCAGCATGGGTGTATGAGGGAACACTCCCCCCCCCCACTAAAAACACATTTGGGCAACGTTGGGGTTGGTCCCAATAACGTTTTTTGGCCAAAAATGTGGGTCATAATCATGGCAACTTATTGCCCAGCCCCCCAAAATGTCAGAGGGACAGTGGACTGGCCCCCTGCTGAAAAAGTTTGCTGATAGTTTACTCCTTGGAGGCTGGATCTGCCCCCCCACCCCCAGCAGCACCTCCTTTTCGCTGAAAGGTCACTGTAGAGACTGCACTGTAGAGACTCCCTTCTAGAGTCTGCTGGGCTTTGCACCCTCCCAGTGTGATTCAGTGGGGGTCCCTTCCCCCCACCCCAAGATGGCCTTTGATTTCCACATTGATTGTCAGGTAAGGTTGATTTGATCCCCACTTCTTTGCTCCTGATGTTATCCATGTTGATCTTCACTCACTCCTTCTTCCGTAGCTGGGGGGCGGGGCGGGGCATCACCATTTTGTGGTTTGCCTCTGGTGCCATGATGTCTTGCCTAGCTAGGCACTTTGATGGTGGCTGTTATGTACTGAGTTGAATAGGATCCAAAATGCAGCAGTCTGATTGGTCCTAGAACAATAAGATTCAGAATGCAGCAGTCTGATTGGTCTGCAGAAGCCACCCAATCCAGCTCCAGGTGGAAGTGAATCAGCAACCTGATTGGCCTACAGGAGACTCCAGGAATTAGCCAATCACGTGGGGCCCATTGTGTAAATAATGTATATAAAGCAGACATTCTGGGGGAACTTCCATTCCTCCTCACCACTAGGAGCTGAATAAAGAGCATGAAATCCACTCTCGACTCCGAGTATATTTCACTGGCAACGAAGGTGGGATTCCGCTGAGCTGACTGCCACACACAGCACCGCAGCTCGACTCCAAGTATATTTCAGTGGCTGTGATGCAGGGCCAGCCCAATACATTTTGGGTCCTGAGGTGAAAAACAAAATGGCACCCCACCCCCTAGCCAGGGAAGAAGGGGTGAGTGGAGATAAACATTGGGAACAAGGGAGGGAGGAGGCCATCAGCACATTCTATTTGCCAAGAGGCTGCTGAGGGGCCGTTGCTGCTGTCATGGCGGCAGAAGTGGCAGGTGACACATTCCTTAGGCAGGCATATCCAAAGTCCGTTTCGGGGGCCTTATCCGGCCCTCTGGTCCATTTAATCCGGCTCCCGTGGCAGTTTATCTCCTGGGGTAAAATCCTTAAAAAAAAGCTCAGCAATGTAAGAAAGTGAAAAACTTCTGGGAAATGATATATAATGAGATGAAAAAGATGTTGAAATATACATTTATTTTTTAAAAAACCAGAAGCATTTTAACTTGGCATTGTAGGAGAGGATATTAACAGACAGGATTGTAAATTGTTTTTATATGCAACAACAACAGCAAGAATACTACTGGCACAAAAATGGAAGCAAGAAGAATTACTGAGGAAAGAAGAGTGGCAAATGAAATTAATGGACTATGCAGAGTTAGATAAATTAACAGGAAGGGTTTGAAACCTTTGTGACCAGAGATTCTTAGAAGACTGGAGTAAATATTTGAACTATTTGAAAAGCAGTTGTAACAAACAGATTACGCTAGTAGGACTGCAAGAAGTTCTGTAAGGAGGACTATGTGAAATACTGCAAGGAAGACTATGAAGAGAATTATTAGTTAAGGATAATTAAAAGTAACAGAGAAATTAAGAAATGCAGAATAAGTGATAAAGAATGGAAAATCTTCAGAGGTTGTTGATGGAAGTCCAAAGTATTGTATAAGATAAGAAAGTATGTTAAATGACGGTTGGAAATGATATGTTTAAAAAAATTAATAAAAATGTATAACAAAAAAAAATCCTAATAAAAGCTCAACAAGTTCAATCCTAAAAAAAAGGTCAGAACTCTGGTCAGCCCTCACACATGTTCGCTTCATCAGATCAGGCCCTCTTTGAAAAAAGTTTGGGCACCCCTGCCTTAGAGGCTGGAGGTGCTGCCCCTGTGGATCCTGCTGCCTGAGGTAGTCACCTCACCTTGCCTCATGGGTGGGTCTCCCTTGCTGTGATGCTTCTTTCTGGCTCTGGACTAGGGATGATGGTGTGTGTGTTAAACGGCCTCGGTCCAGTATACCTGAAGGAGCGTCTCCACTCCCATAGTTCTGCCGGGATGCTGAGGTCCAGCACTGAGGGCCTTCTGGCAGTTCCCTCACACCGAGAAGCCAAGTTACAGGGAACCAGGCAGAGGGCCTTCTCGGTGGTGGCACCCACCCTCCCACCAGATGTCAAAGAGAAAAATAACTACAGTGGTACCTCAGGTTACATACGCTTCAGGTTACAGACGCTTCAGGTTACAGACTGATAACCCAAAAATAGTATCTCGGGTTAAGAACTTTGCTTCAGGATGAGAACAGAAATCGCGTGGCAGTGGCATGGCAGCAGCGGGAGGCCCCATTAGCTAAAGTGGTACCTCAGGTTAAGAACAGTTTCAGGTTAAGAACGGACCTCTGGAACGAATTAAGTACTTAACTAGAGGTACCACTGTACCTGACATTCAGAAGAGATCTGAAGGCAGCCCTGTTCAGGGAAGTTTTTAATGTGTGACATTTTAGTGTTTTTGTCTTTGCTGGAATTCGCCCAGAGTGGCTGGGGAAACCCAGCCAGATGGGTGGGGTACAAATTATTATTATTATTATTATTATTATTATTATTATTATTATTATTATTATGTGTGCGCGAGCGCCAATGGCCCATCTAGTGCAGCACCCTCTTCTTACAGGGGCCAACCAGATGTCCCCGCAAGCAGGACTGGAGCGCAAAAGATCACTCTCCCAACTCGTGGCTTCCAGCAACCGGTATTCCAAAGCATTCAGGCCCTGGGCTGATCTGGGGTGGGGGGGAATCTCCCTGCCTGAAATTCTGGAGAGCCGCAGACAACATTGAGCTCTATGATTCAACATAAGGCGACTTACTAAAATGTTGGATTTCTCGGCTCCGCCCCCTCCCGTGTCCCGGGCCCGCCCCCTTGGCCCTCTCCTCGCCTCTCCCCTCCCAAACGTCGGTCTTCGCCCCCACCCTGCGCGCCCATAAGTTTTGCAGCCTCCGAGACATGGTTTCGCCCGCGGCCGCGTCTGTCCTCCCTTGCGCCCTGCTTCTCCTTCTGCGCTCAGGTTTGGGGGTCTCCACCCCGCCCAGTGAGGAGGGGGAGGATGTTGAGAGGACGGGGAGCCCTGCCGGACCGCGGGAGGAGTTTCCAACCGTGGTGTTCGCTATTCTGGCTCGAAACTCCCAGCACTCTCTGCCCCATTACCTGGGGGCCCTGGAGCGCATGGATTACCCCAAAGAGCGCATCTCCATCTGGTAAGGGGCGCAGCAACTTTGAGTTGCGCTGACGCTGACTGCCGGGGGGGGGGGGAGGCGGCGGCAAGCGGGGACAGGATGGAGTTTTAGGGGTCCCCCTTCCCAGCCCAATTTGGGATTGGTTCGAGACGCCCCAGAAAAGTGTTTATGAGCGTGAAGGGTTAGTTGTGGGGGGAACCTAGTTAATTTCGGGGTGGTGGTAGGTATCGCCAGTTGTAGTGTTAGTGCAAAGTTTGTAGGGACTTGAACCTTGGGCAGGCCGTGCAAAGGTGTGCCTCAGGACCTCAGCTTGGGGGTTGCGTATGGGGAGGGTGCATAGCTGTCAACTTTCCCCTTTTCTTGCGAGGAATCCTATTCGGAATAAGGGAATTTCCCTTTAAAAAAAGGGAAACGTTGACAGCTATGGGTGTCTGGGGAGGAGCAGGTCCTCAGAGGCTCTGCTGCCCTGCAGGGCATGGTTTTGGAGTATATAGGTGAGCGTGATTTGGGGCGAGCCCTGATTACTTCTGGTGTCTAGTGTGGGGGCACAGGAGCATGTACATTTCTGGAAGTCTTCTTTGGGGTGCCTGAACAAGGAGTGCTGAGTTTTGCACAGTATCTGGACTGTCTCCTAGAGTGTTAGTTTGTTGTTGCTGCTACTTGTGTTGAGGTGTTGTTGTTTTTGTTTTTGCAGGGCCACCTGCCCATTTTCAGGGCTGACCTGGCCATGATCCTTCCAGACCCAATGGGATCTAATGGAGCTGTTGTTGTGTTGATCAGAGGTGAGGAACATGTAGCATAGCTGTCAACTTTTCCCTTTTCTTGCGAGGAATCCTATTCGGAATAAGGGAATTAAAAAAAGGGAAACGTTGACAGCTATGACATGTAGCCCTCCAGTTGCTGAGGCCTCCAACATCTGAAAGGCTACACAGATGTTCCTCCTATGATGCAGATCAATGGGGAGAGCTGGTGCCTTCTTAGAAGACCTCATTTTATAGAGGTGGGCACTGATGAGGTCAGCTAATTGTTGCCGAATGCATCCCCCAACACTTGTTTTCTCTTTAATGTACCCCCTTCCTCTTTGAGGAGGGAAACCTCCCTTTGGAAGGAACAAAATTTCTAGAAGTTTTGTGTGTGCATATAAGCCCTCTCTAAGGGACGCGGGTGGCGCTGTGGGTAAAAGCCTCAGCGCCTAGGGCTTGCCAATCGAAAGGTCGGCGGTTCGAATCCCCGCGGCGGGGTGCGCTCCTGTTGTTCGGTCCCAGCGCCTGCCAACCTAGCAGTTCGAAAGCACCCCCGGGTGCAAGTAGATAAATAGGGACCGCTTACTGGCGGGAAGGTAAACGGCGTTTCCGTGTGCGGCTCTGGCTCGCCAGATGCAGCTTGTCACGCTGGCCACGTGACCCGGAAGTGTCTCTGGACAGCGCTGGCCCCCGGCCTCTTGAGTGAGATGGGCGCACAACCCTAGAGTCTGTCAAGACTGGCCCATACGGGCAGGGGTACCTTTCCCTTACCTTTAAGCCCTCTCTAAGGATACACAGGGGTGGTTGTAATCAAAAGTGTTTGTAATGCTTTGGGCTATGTTGACATGCTAGGACAGGGACAGGGTTCCTGTAGCCTTCCAGATGCTGCTGAACTCCAGCTCCCATAAGCCCTTGCTACTGTGGCCAGGGATGGTGGGAGTTGTAGGCCAGCAACACCCAGGTGACCACAGTTTCCTCATCCCCAGGCTAGCATGGCAAGTTTTTTAGTTACACTGGAGCTTCAGGAGAAAGAGCTGCAGGAACCACACCAGCATTTTAGGGTGGAGGCTTCTGTGGCAGGAATAAGAAACCTGTGGTCCTCTGGGCTCCAGTTCCCATGAGTTCCTGCCAGCATGGCCAGTGGGCGGAGCTATGATGGGAGTTTGCATCCAGCGTAATACCTGCAAGGCTACACATTTGGGAAGGCTGGGGTAGCAGATCCTGAGCAGTGGCTGCTTCCCTTCACCTCTACAGCAGGGGTGGGGTAAACAGATAAACAAATGGAACAAAATGTAGTATGACCACTGCTCCATAAAGCCTGAAAGCAGCTATAATGAATTTCAGAGGATCGTTAAGACACATAGCATGGAAGATTTGGAAGTCTCTCCAAATATGTCTTTGTATTTGTGGTGGTCTTTAGGCTTTATAACTTTAAAAAGTACGTTTCTAGTCTCTAGTCCTTATGGAGGCTACAGAAAGCTGTTTCAGCAGTGCATGCTGGCACTTGGTTGAACATGAAAACTTGCCTTTGGCCAGCAAGTGTGACTTTTCTTACTGTTTCTGTCCCTTCTCATGGTGTTCCTGCCTATTCTGGTCTAATTTTTCTTTGGTCGCTCACAGTTGGCATGTCAGTTTTTTCTGCCAGCCCGGTAGTCCATATCCATGCAGACCATGAGTCAAGTGACGGGCAGGTCTCCTGTTTTCCAACTCCTAGCTATTCCTTGTGGCCCTCTGGCTTTTGTAGGACTCCAGCTCTTCCCTCCAACCCCAAAAGCCTGCATGGCCAAGGGCCAGGGATGGTGGCAGCTGTAGTCCAACAACATCTGGAAGGTCACATGTCCCCCACCCCACCCCTGTTGAATGGCATCCAGAGAGCCCTCCTTGTTGCCTGCCTTTTTATTTCCAACCCCCTACTGCCCCATTTCCCTAACCTTGCTGGGACTGCTCCACTCCAGCCTCCCACCCCATGTTTTCAGTACTCTGCAGAGACAACAGAATTCCCTTCCTTTCTGTTCCAAAGCTTCTCCGTCTCAGGCGTGTTTTATAGCCTATTCTACGATCTTGTAGGAAACCTTACCCTGGTAGTATAAATCTTCTTTTTTAAGAGCTCATGAGCTGTTTTCCATCTGCTGTCTCTGTTAAACTGATGCACAAGCCTCTTAATGATGTCTCAGTCCAGTTCGGGAGAGACGGCATCCTAGACCAGCAATTTAATCTGCTATATATTAGCATCTGTTCTTTCTTTTAAACCAAGTTAATTTTCCTCGAGTTTCGTTCTTGGACCTGTGGCTCTTGGCTTGTTCAACACTGCTGGAGGGAGTCCATGTGGCAGGGCAGAGAGAACTCCCTTTCTGGGATTCCTGTAGCACATGCAGATGGAAGTCTGTTTTTTCAGATCCATGAAGTGTACAGTGGTACCTCAGGTTACAGACGCTTCAGGTTACAGACTCTGCTAACCCAGAAATAGTACCTCAGATTAAGAACTTTGCTTCAGGATGAGAACAGAAATCATGCGGCAGTGGCAGCGGGAGGCCCCATTGGCTAAAGTGGTATCTCAGGTTAAGAACAGTTTCAGGTTAAGAATGGACCTCTGGAATGAATTAAGTTCTTAACCCGAGGTACCACTGTAATCCTAAATTTGCAAATGTATATACCAGCATGGTTGCCAAGAGAGAAGAGAGAGGTTGCAGGGAAACAATATGCCAAGGACTCTGGACCACAAAAGTGCCTCTCTTAATAAATTTGTGCCACAAGACTCTGGTGTTTTTTCTCCTTTGTCTTTTTGCTGCGGTGGGCTGACAACACTCCCCTTCTGGAAACCGATCTAGGGAAGCAGACTCATGGGTCCTTCTTTGGATACCACACACCTGCCTTTGTTTTGGGGACATTTCACTACCTTGATATACATTGGGGTTTGTTTTGGGATTGGAAAAAGTTTCCCAAATTGTCTGCATACATTTCTTTCTGAGATAGGAACTGAAGCAGTCTCGCCATATACCACTGGCTCTGCTGTGGCTGAACTGGGGATTTCTGAGCCCCGTTCAGATTGCTGCTTTTTATTCATCAGGACATAAGGATTTGTTTTTAATTATGTAGCATGAGGCTTTATATGCAATGTTTAATTTTTTTGGTAAATGAATTCCATTAATCCATTCACAATGTCATTCTCTTCCAGAGGTTTCCGTAAGATTATTTGAGGCAGTTTTTCCAACGAGCAGATATTATCACAGATGCTTGTTTTTGCAGTTCTCAAAAGTGTGAATTTGTGTCTGCAGAGATAACCTGCCTTTCCTTCACAGGAAAAATGTTATAAAATAAACATACAGAGTTGAGGAAAAAAACCTTAATCCCATTGTTCCTTTGCAAATTTATATACACAGAACCAGTAATTTTTGATATAACTGTAATATTTATTATTCCAAAAATGAAATCTCCATCTGATTGTAAATATTGAGATTATACCAGCATGAATGAGTCTTTCTGTAAAAATAATGATTTAAATCAAGTCTTACTGACTAGTGATTTAAATCGTGATTTAAACCAATTTGATTTAAATCAAATCCACCCTGCTTCATCATGTCATTGGGTGATCCACTTGGGGCTTGCAGACTAATTCATACTGGATTTGATTACTGCTTTAGGATGCGCCCAGTACAAGCCCCACTTGCCAAGGAGCAATATGGAGCACATTTTAAGGCATGGGCAATGGTCAGGGATGATAGGAGTTATAGACCAGTGGAGAACCACAGATCCCCCAATCTCTGCTTTGGAAGGTCTGTTAAAAAGTGCCCATGCCAGCTAGTGCAAGTTTTGGCGGAGAATACATGCCACTAGCTATAAATATGCTCAGAGATGATGTGCTGGCATAGCCATGCTCTAGTCAGGAGCCCTTTGGGAAATTAACATGTAATTTTCAAGAACTGACTGGGTTGCAATAGCGTCTAAATTGCAGATTTCCTAGGCAGCACTGAGAGGACCTTGCAGTAGATGAGAGGGTTTGTCAGCTTTCAAGTCCAGGTTGCCTTTATTCTAACTCAAAATAAAAAAAGGGTAAACCCACACTGACCTGGCAAGTTTTCCATTTTTTTGTTCCCAAATGTTCAAGTGGAGAATGGAATGGAGTGTGCTGGAAGAGGGCATGGCTGGCTGGCCCCCCGAATAGGAGCCTTCCACATTGCAGGTCCCACTTGCATCATGCCTGCCATCCCAGGGTATCAAATATACACAGGCTATATGCACACCAATAATATGTATAATTATATTGGCTTATGTGGCATTAAACTGTTGGACTCCAGCTAGCTGCAGTTCTAGTAGGTTTTTCTGCTGACATAAAGTGCCGATGTTTTGTGCATGGCAAACAGCAGCTGGACAAACCAACTGGAAGGCTACACGCAACCTTGGATTTCTAGTTGGAAACCACCACCACCGGTCCCCTTTGAGATCCCTCTTTGCTTATAATAAATAATGAATATAAAACGCTGTCAAGAATGTATAAGGTATTGTTGGAATGGCATACGAAAGATGAAGAGGTTAAAACGGTAATGATACAATGGGCAAAAGATTTTGGGTATAACATTCAATTTGAGGAATGGGAAAAATTGTGGAAAGAGAATATAAAATTCACTGCATGCACGTTATTGAAAGAAAATGTTATGAAAATGTTCTATAGATGGTATATTACACCAGTAAAGTTAGCAAAGATGTATAAGATGTGTAACAAATGTTGGAAATGCAAAGATAAAGAAGGGACATTTTTTCATATGTGGTGGGAATGCAAGAAAGTGAAAAGCTTTTGGGAAATGATATATAACGAAATGAAAAAGATGTTAAGATATACTTTTGTAAAAAGACCGGAGGCTTTTCTCTTAGGGATTGTAGGAAAGGATATAAGAAGAAAAGACTGTAAACTCTTTCAATATGCGGTAACGGCGGCCAGAATCTTGATTGCCCAGAAATGGAAACAAGAGGAAATACCGACGATAGAGGAATGGAGACTGAAATTGACAGACTATGCGGAATTGGATAAATTAACTGGGAAAATTAGATATACCAAAGACCAAAAGTTCATCGAAGACTGGGGAAAGTTTGTAGACTATCTGAAAAACATATGTGGTGTGAACACAACGCTAGCAGGATTTCAAGAGGCACTGTAAAAACGGAGAAGTATTGTCAGTAGTAAATAGTGGGAGAAGGGAAGTGTAATGGCAACACGAAAGGAGGATTGTGTAATTACAGTTATGAATACGGATGATTGTCAGAGACGCTGAGGGAAGTTCAAAAACAAATAAGAAGTAATTTGTTGTATTTTGGAAAACTGTATAAATATTTGAAAATTAATAAAAAAATTATGGGGGGGGGGAAGAGATCCCTATTTGCTGTTTCTGCCAGCTTTTGGGTAAAATTGGCTAGCGGTGAATTGAGGAGGAACAGATCCCTCATTTGCAATTTGGATTTTCAGGTGTGCCACTGACCACAATGTGGACAACACAACAGAAATACTGCATGAGTGGCTGACTGCTGTGGAAGGCCACTACCGGCACATTGAGTGGAGATCCATAGATGAGCCCAGGTAAGTTTGGAATACTCATGCCGACCTACTTGAATTTCATAAATAATTGAGAAGCATGCATAGGTCAGGAATTAATGAAGATCACGGTGGATTTGGATACCCAGAAACAATTGCGGTACTTCTTAGAAGGTTGATGCGGTGCAGCTGTAACTTTGTGGAGAAGTTGTCAATAGAAAGATCTGTGTTCAGAGGCAATGCTAGTTGCTGCAGGAACAACTGTTGGTAGAATACCTTCAGACCCTCTTAAGGAACATAAATGGAGCCTTGAAGCCAGATCATGCCAAGGGGGACTGTACACCATGCTGCAACATTTTGTTGCCATTCCCCCTTGCTCTTACGCTGTGAACCCTTTTTAGGGTAGAGACCTTGAGTTGGTTTATTCATGGGGATCTTCCCATCTACAGAACTCTTCTAATTCCCTCCAGTGAACCATTAAATGCTTTCCTGTGTTTCTTGGAACTACAGTATGGAAGGGCTGTGCTAACCTGAAGGCTTGCATAAAATAGGCACCGCAGTGCAAAGGAAAGGGGAGAGGAACAGGCCTTGCACTCTCTGCTTACAATCTTGCCTCTTGCAGCTCTTATCCTGATGAACACGGGCCCAAACACTGGAGCGACGCACGCTTTGAGCACGTAATGAGGCTCAAACAGGAAGCTCTGAGCTTTGCCCGATCTGAGCGGGCCGATTACATTTTGGTAAGTCAGTCTGATCATCTGGAGGTGGGAAAATGTCCAACGTGAGTCTCCTCCATTCTGTCCACACTAGAAGACACTTTTGGGTGCACCTGGTTCTCATCTACCTCAGCCTTCCTCAACATGGTGCTCTACAAATGCTGCGGCCACAATTTATTTATTTACTTATCACACTTATTTGTTGCTTGTCATCCGGAAGGTCTCCAAGAAACTTACCGTAAAGAAAAACGTATGTATGCACATACATAATACCCTAAGGAAGGTAGGGCAAGATCTTACAATATGTTAATATTTCACATAATGTACAACTTTGTAAAACAGACGCAACATGCCAGCTCCATAAATGGTAGTGAACAACTTTAGCAAAACTTTAGCAATAATAATAATAATAATAATAATAATAATAATAATAATAATAATTTTTTATTTATACCCCGCCAAGGCTGGGCTCAGGGCGGCTAACAAGCAATAATAAAAACAAGTTGAATGATTACAACTTAAAACAAAATTAAAATACAACATTTAAATATTGAAACATTAAAATATTAAAATGCCTCATTAAAATGCCTCATTGCAGGAGGAGAAGGAAAAGAAAAAAGAAAGAGAGGGGGGGAATTAAATTGGCTCCAAGCCAAAGGCCAGGCGGAACAACTCTGCCTTATAGACCCTGCAGAAAGAAATCAGATCCTGCAAGGCCCTGGTCTCATGAGGCAGAGCGTTCCACCAGGCCGGAGCCAGCGTTGAAAAGGCCCTGGCTCTGGTTGAAGCCAATCTAACTTCATTAGGGCCCGGGACCACTAGGGTGTTGGTATTTGTGGACCTTGAGGCTCTCCGTGGGGCATACCAGGAGAGGCGGTCCCGTAGGTACGAGGGTCCTAGGCCGTGAAGGGCTTTAAAGGTCAAAAGCAGCACCTTAAATCTGACCCTGTACTCCACCTGGAGGCAGTGCAGCTGGAAAAGCACTGGGTGAATATGCTCCCATGGCAGAGACCCCGTGAGGAGCCTCGCTGCTGCATTCTGCACCCGCTGGAGTTTCTGGGACAGCTTCAAGGAAAGCCCCGCGTAGAGCGAATTACAGTAGTCAAGCCTGGAGGTGCCCGTCGCATGGATCACTGTGGCCAGGTCGGGGCGGGGAAAATAAAAATTGTTTATTAAAGCAATACTCCTACCCACTAATTAGCAGATAAATGAAACCTGATTTTTGGCCATAGTGGCCACTGGGGCTGACTTAGTTTTCTTCAAATGTACATCTTGCCTCACACTTTCTAACCTTGACTGCTTGGTGCTCCTCTGCTTGGGCCATTTTCAAATCCACTGGAGCACTTGGTGAGATTTTTCTATCCATGCAGGCAATTTTGCCTTGGAGGGATGCAGTTCAGTTGTGCCTGCCAGGCTCCCTCAGGGGTGGGGTTTAGTTTTCAGACATGGTTTCAGTCAAGATAAAAGTGTGCACTTTTAATTCTGTCCCCAGTTCACAGACACGGACAGCATCTTGACAAATAACCAGACTCTGAAGTTCCTCATTGCACAAAACAAATCTGTTGTTGCTCCTATGCTGGACTCTCAGACCTACTACTCCAACTTCTGGTGTGGGATTACTCCTCAGGTAAGCCCGTTTGGTGGACGTGCTTGAACAGATTTGCAGAATTTATTTATTGCACAAGCAGGAAATCTGTGGTCCTCCGGGTAATGTAGGCCACTGGCCAGGGGTGATGGGAGTCATTGCTCAACATCTGGAGGACCACATGTGCACTACAAAGAGACAACCGAGTCAATTCAGCAAGTGAAAATGCATGCACCATCAGAGCAATGTAAAAACAAATCTATATCATAAATACAGCCAGGCTTTGACTGAACTCACTCACTATTTGTTCTTTCTGGAAACAACTGAAGACATTTTTATTTCTACAGACATTTTTGTTTCAAAGCCTGTTTAAGTTATTCTTATTTTTGCAACATTTTAAAACTATGCTAAAAAAAATTATGTGAATCACATTGATGCTATTGCAGAAGGTGATTGATAAATGAATAAAACAGTGAGTTTAAAAAGCAGGTTTAGAAAAACCACCAGCTATGTGAGCTAAGGTGGATTGAAAAAGCAACAAGTTTTATCTAACTAAGTTATAGTTGGGAGTGGACCTACTGAAGTTAAGGGACCTAAGGAATGTCCATTAACTTCAGCCAGTCTACTGTGAATGGGACTTAGTTGGACATAACCCTATGTGTGTATGGCCTGCTTGAAAGAAAACTGGGATGGGGCCAAACCTGCCTCCTGGGGAAGGGAGTTTCATAGGTGAGGAGCCACCACCCAAAAGGCCCTGCTTCCTGTTCCCACCTGCTTGATAGGTAGGTCTGCAAGAAGGGGGTCTCCATAGCAGGCTCGTATGGGTGCAAGTGGTTCATGGAATAACTTGGCCCCGGAGTATTTAGGTCTTCAAAGACAGTTATTGGCACAGCACTGGGCTATGTTGGGTTATTAGACTCTCTCGCACGTTCCAGGGTTACTACCGTAGGACAGCAGACTACTTCCCCACCAAGAACAGGCAGCGGGTCGGGTGCTTTGCTGTCTCCATGGTATACGCCGCCTTCTTGATTGATCTGCGGAAGAACGACACTGCTGACCTGGCCTTTCACCCGCCCCATCCCAGCTATACCTGGCCATTTGATGACATCATTGTTTTTGCGTACTCCTGCCAAACTGCAGGTGAGAGTGAAGAAGGAGAAGGGGGAGGCAGACCATCATGGCTAGCATTTGTATAGAGTTTCCACATGTCCAGAAAGTGCTTGATAATACAGTGGACCCTCGAGTTACGTACCGCTCTGGATACGTAACTTTCGGGTTGCGAACACGGCAAACCCGGAAGTGTATACAGTGGTACCTCTGGTTGCGAACGGGATCCATTCCGGAGCCCCGTTCGCAACATGAACAGAACACAACCCGCGTCTGTGTGGGTCGCGATTCGCTGCTTCTGCGCATGCCCCTAACGTCATTTTGAGCGCATGCGCGAGCGGCGAAACCTGGAAGTAACCCTTTCCAGTACTTCCGGGTCGCCTGGGGAAGCAACCTGAAAAGACGTAACCTGAACCAAACATAACAAGAGGTATGGCTGTACTTCCAGGTTTCGCCTGCACACGCATGCGCAGAAGCGCTCTGTGCACAGAAGTGGCGCCTCCAATTACAGTCTTTTCAGGTTATGTACGGACCCCTGGAGTGAATTTAATTTGTATCCAGAGGGTCCACTGCAATAGGAGCCCTACTTTTCAGACCAGACACCCTTCTAGTTCAGAGGTACCTGTGGCCAACCAGGTGCCTCTGGGAAGCCCCTCAAACAGCATGAAAGCAGAAGCCCTTTTCTGTTCCCCCTCCCTGCAGCTCGTGTTTAGCATTATACTGCTACTGGACATGGAGGCTCCATTTCACCCTGATTTTTTTCTAATGTTTGATTCAAACTGGGGCAAGCAAAAAGGAGATGGACAGGCCATGCTCTGTCTACCAAGGTGTGCAGAAGAGAACAGCAGTCTGGTGTGGCATTGGGCAGACCAGAGGAATTCCACTGTCAAGGAGCCTGTGCTGGCGATTTGGGGCTCACAATTGTTTGGATTTTATCTTAAATGCTCGTTTATAGAACCATAGAATTGTTGAGCGGCATACTTTTAAGTTGTTCTTCTGTCTCCTGTGCAGGAGCCCAGATGTACTTGTGTAACCAGCAGCGGTTTGGATATATCAATGTCCCTGTGAAATCTCACCAGACGCTGGAGGATGAAAGCATCAACTTTGTGCACCTGATCCTGGAGGCAATGGGTGAGTTAGTGCACCTGCTCCAAATACTGCCCTAGCCTACAAGAGAATCTTTCTTGAGGGTTATTGTAGGGTGTTTTTCTTCCTGGCTGTGGGACCCTAATATCCCTACACTTGATGGCATGTACCCAGTGCTTGCTCTACTCAGAGCAAACCCATTGCAATTAATAGCCATGACTAAAGGAGTTTCCAGACCCTCACTATTTTCAGGTGGGATTCAGTCGCATGCTGGCAAATTCAGGCTGCATAATCAAATTCCATTGGGAGGGCTTGTGCTGCAAACCTTCTTCCCCAAAAGATCAGACTTTTTGCTGGTAAGGAAAGTGAGGGGTCGCATTTGCTTTGGTGCAACAGCGTCTAACCTGCCTGCAAACAAATGGGGATGAATGCTCAGTAAGCAGGTTGTCTGGAAGCACCATAAGTTTCGCCCATTAATTTTAGTAGGTCTGCTCTGGGTAGAATTTTGTTGGATATGGCTGCCTATCTTTCTCTGGTTTACCTGAGAAAGATAGGTTTGAGCATATTATGCCAATTCAGGTCCAATTCAAAGTGCTGGTTTTGACCTATAAAGCCTGAAATGGCTCAGAACCACAATACACCAGGACCACTTATCTCCATATGACCCTACCCGGACCCTGAGATCATCCTCTGAAACCCTTCATCATGTTCTTCCTCCATGAGAGGTCCAGAGGAGGCAACACGAGAACGGGACTTTTCTGCAGTGGCCCCCCATTTCTGAAATGCTCTCCCCAAGGAGGCTCACTTGGTGCCTTCATTATACACCTTTAGGCACCAGGCAAAAACCTTCCTCTTCTACCAGGCCTTTGGCTGATTGACATCTGATGTCATTTTAAATGTGGAAGGGGGGAATTACTGGATTGTCTTTGTTTCTGCTTTTATTATGTATTATGTGTTTTTTATATTGTGATTTTATGTTGTGAACTGCCATGAGATCTGTGGGTATAGGACGGTGTACAAATTTAATTAATAATAATATGAATAACTTAACCTTCTCAAGCTCAAGGGAAATTTGATCCTTAGAACCAAAGAGCTGGAGAGAGCCTTGTAGGCCATTTTGTCTGTCTCCTGCTTGATGCAAGAAATGCAAACCTGGAACTGTTTCTCCCTCTCCATTTACTACTACTTATAATTAATAATGCTAATAATTAACAACAACAACACAATGGAAGCCCTAAAGATAACAGCTATAAGCAATTCAAAGAGGGAAGGGGAGAAAATTTTGGGAGCTGGTTTGGGATTATTGGCAGAATACACCAGCAAAATTACAGCAAGCTGTTTATGGAACTCACTTGCTGTTAAGTACAGTACAGTGGTACCTCGGTTTACGAACTTAACCTGTTCCAGAAGTCCGTTCTTAAACCAAAACCGTTCTTAAACTGAGGCGCGCTTTCCCTAATGAGGCCTCCCGCCGCCGGTGCCCTTCCACCGTTCGGATTCCATTCTTAGACTGAGGTAAAGTTCTCAAACCGGGACACTACTTCCGGTTTTGCGGAGTTCGTAAACCGAATCATTCGAAAAACAGGACTGTTCTTAAACCAAGGTACCACTCTATGGGTTAAAAACCTGAGTAGTGACGTAGCCTCCTCTCCAAGCTTTACATCTCTCTTGCAGTGGATGGTACCCCAATGTTCCCCTCCAGCCATGTCTACCTCCCACCAAAGCATCCGACGAAAATTGGGTTTGACGAGGTAAGCAAGTCTCTCTCTCTCTCTCTCTCTCTCTCTCTCTCTCTCTGTGTGTGTGTGTGTGTGTGTGTGTAAGAGAGAAATTGTCAGCACCTGTGAGGGCTGTGAGTGACTGAGTCAGAATATGCCTCAATGCATGTGATGAATTTTGTGCGTTTGGAGTGAGTGGAATCCTATTTTATGGCTTTTTTTTGAGCTTCATTGTTTTACATGTTCCACTTAAAATTCATTGTTAATTTCATTAGATTTTTTTGTAAGCTTGCTTTTGTGATGAAAAGTGGTTCATATAAGTACTCGAAGAAAGGAATTGAACCTTCTGTTTTCCTTTTAGGTTTTCCTCATCAACTTGGCAAGGCGCCCAGACCGTCGGCAGCGCATGCTTAGTTCCCTCTTTGAGTTGGAGATAGAGCCCTTGGTGATTAACGCTGTCGATGGAAGGTGACTGGCTGACGCCTCTTTCTGGGGTGCTTTGTTTTGGTTTTTAGCATGAAATGGGGCTGCTGCAACTGGTGGACCTCTCTGCCACAAGGCTTAGATAGCTTTTAAAAAATGCAAATGTAATAGGAGAAAGGGCCAAAATATGATGGTGATGATCATTATTATTATTATTTACAGTCATACCTCACGTTTGCTTCAGGTTACGTTCTTTCAGGTTACGTCCCACGGCGACCCGGAAGTACCAGAAAGGGTTACTTCCGGGTTTCTCTGCTCGCGCATGCACACAAGTGCCAAGTCGCACTGTGCACCTGTGCAAATACGGCGCTTCAGGTTGCACTCTTTTCATGTTGCAAACGGGCCTCCAGAATGGATCCCGTTCGCAACCAGAGGTACCACTGTAGATAGATTTGAAGGAGCAAGTCCATTCAGGAAACAACTATCAAGTCCTACTAGTCGTGATGGATTTACAGAATTTGCAGAACCAGTGTACGATGGAATATTAGTTGTTAGGTGAAGGGCAGTAGCCAGGGTGGGGGAAGCCACTGCCTGCCTGCCTCACTGGTGGGATTCCTGCAGGCATCTGCTTTGGCGCAGTGGAAACAGGATGCTGAACAAGATGGGCCTGTGGTCCAGAAGGACCATCTCTGCATGTTCCTAAATAGCCCAGCCTTTCCCTCTGCTGTATGTGAAGCTGCTTTCATCACTAGCTTTAGTCATCTTTGTGAAGATAAACCTTTTTGCCCAGCCTTCCCCTGACCCATAAGATCGGACCCTGCTTTTGCTGAATTCCTCTCTTTTTTTTTATAAATACTCCCGCCCCCCCATTTTTTAATTCATTTTATAACTCAACTAAACAACACAAACAGAAAAAAACAAGCAATATGAACAGATTCTTGTCTTATCCTTATTTTTTCTAAACATTGTTAGGTGGGCTTCCCCAAGACCCCCCCATCTGATTTTCATTTTACCTCATCTTTAGCAGTTTACATATATCAATTTTTTAACCATTTTTTAAAAATCACGCTTACTTTTACCATAAAAATCTTCATTTTATCACTTACAAAACAATACACTATCTTCTACTTCTAACCCTACAGCCTATATCCACTTCCAAAGCTACTCTAAGATTTAAATATTAACATATTTTCCCAAATATTCTTTAAGCTTCTTCCACCGTCTTTTCTCTAAATACGTTTAAATGCACTTTCTCTGTTTTTTATGCTGTTCTTTGTACACGGCTTTCAGAACTTTTAACTAGAAATGCTCCTGAACAGATGCAATAAATCTGCTTGCTGTATAGTTGTCTGAACCCCATTGCACCTGAAAGCTGGAGAGAGGAGCATGTGGACTCCATGCCACCTACAGCTGATGTGAACTGGCACCCCAACAACACCTGGGGGACCCAAGGCTGGGTGGGATATCTATACAGGGCTGTGTCGCTCCATGCTGCCTGCCCTGGTTCTTGACCTGCGCTCTTGGGAGTTTTGCTTTGCTAACCTCTGTTATCTCCTCTGCCAGTGCCCTAAACAGCAGTGACATCAAGAAACTGGGTGTGGACCTGCTTCCAGGTTATTTTGACCCCTTTTCAGGCAGGACACTCACCAAAGGAGAGGTGGGCTGCTTCCTGAGCCACCATCATGTATGGAATGAGGTAAGGGCTTGGGCTGGGTTGGACGAAAGGGTCAAGGGCTTGGGTTGGTTCAGTGCAGGGAAGGGCCATTGATGTGGTCAAGCAGAGCCTGCCCATCAGCTTCTCTCTGGTTGGCTACTCAAGATCTGGGGCCAAGCTCTGTGCAATGGTTATATAGGTAGAGCCAGTGTGGTGTAGTGGTTAAGAGCGGTGGACTCGTAATCTGGTGAACTGGGTTCGCGTCTCCGCTCCTCCGCATGCAGCTGCTGGGTGACCTTGGGCTAGTCACACTTCTCTGAAGTCTCTCAGCCCCACTCACCTCACAGAGTGTTTGTTGTGGGGGAGGAAGGAAAAAGGAGATTGTTAGCTGCTTTGAGACTCCTTAGGGTAGTGATAAAGCGGGATATCAAATCTAAATTCTTCTTTTAGGTCCAGCTAGGCTCCTACTGTGTCCTTCAGGTTACCTGGTTTCCTGGGCTGAAGAGTAGGAGAGGCCTTTCTGGCTGTTGCTCGACATACAGCGTAGCAGAGAGTGGGTGGAGGAGTGTCGGGAGGCTTGGGGAGCCCAATCCTTGCAAATCCTGACACTGGTTGACCTGACCCCCACCTCCCAGATTGACGCATGCATCAGGAATTCATTGCCCTCTCACTTTTGCACTTGGAATCATAGAGCTGAAGGATAAGAAGGTGCCCTGGCAGCCATCTTGTCTAAGCTGCAGTAGCGCAGGAGTCACTCTTTCCCAATGTTCCAAAGTAGTTCTTTTGTTAAATAACTTATTATTATTATTATTTCATTAATAACAATCCCATGTAAGCCACATTAATACAATATCAAATCATAATACAAAAGAGCCAATTATCCCGTTCCAAATTAAACAATTTTGGATGACTTCCCGTGTTCTGATTATCAGGAGATGTTGTTATTCCTTGGTCCTGGCTCCAATCCTCTTAATTAACCCAAGCCTGTGAGCATATGATAAAATTTGCTCTCTGCCCTGCGCTTTCCCCAAAAAGGTCTTTTGGATTTCTCAACAAGGTCTACACCAGGGATGCGGAACCTGTGGCTATCTAGATGCTGTTGGACTCTCATCAGCCCCACAGCTAATGGGAGCTGTAGATCTCAAGACATCTAAAGAGCAACAGCTTCTCCAGCTCTGAGCTGTGCTGATATAGCATACACAGCAAGTTCCCTTGGTAAAGATTCTGGTGTCCCTTTGCTTGGTGCAGTCCTGGGTGAGCTCTGCGATGGAACTTTAAGGTCTCTTTCACCCATACTCCTAGCGCTGTGGTTTTCTCCCCCCTTTAGATTGTTGAACGGGGTCTGGAGAAGTCTGTGGTGCTGGAAGATGATGTGCGGTTTGAGGCATATTTCAAGAAGCGAATTTTGCGGCTGATGGATGAACTGGAGCAAGTACAGCTGGATTGGGACCTGATGTATGTTGGGTTAGCTGGTGGGGTTGGGCGAGGTCCTCAGCTGCAAAACAGCCCTAGTTGTTTGGCTACACTTTGGAATGCCAGAATAACTATAGCTCAGTGGCAGTGCACCTGCTTTGCATGCAGAAGGTTTCTCCAGGAAGGTCTGGAAAAGTCCCCTGTTGGAAATCCTGGTGAGCTGCTGCCAGTCAGTGTAGGCAATATTGAGCTCGGTTGACGTATGGCCTGACTCTCCATAAGGCAACTTCCTGTGTTCCTGTTTGGTTCATCCCTTTATTCAGAACTGTGAGGGCTGGGATATTTAGTTTTAGGTGGAGGACAATGAATCAGTTGTTAAGAGTTTGTCCTTTGCATGCAAAAGTCTTTGGCTCAATCCTAGGCTACTCCAGGTAGGGCTGGGAAAGAGATCCTGACTCTGTCTGAAATACTGCAGAATCACCAGAGGCAATGTTGAGCCAGATGCGCCAATAGTCTGAATCATTAGAAAGCTATTTCCTGTATTCACATTTGTTTATTTCATAAAGATTATGCACTGCTTGAGCATAAAGCACCTCAAAGTGGTTTAAGGTAAAGGTAAAGGGGCCCCTGACCATTAGGTCCAGTCGTGGCTGACTCTGGGGTTGTGGCGCTCATCTCGCTTTACTGGCCGAGGGAGCCGGTGTACAGTTTCCGGGTCATATGGCCAGCATGACTAAGCTGCTTCTGGCGAACCAGAGCAGCGCACGGAAACGCCATTTACCTTCCCGCTGGAGCGGTAGCTATTTATCTACTGCACTTTCACGTGCTTTTGAACTGCTAGGTTGGCAGGAGCAGGGACCGAGCAACGGGAGCTCACCCCGTCGCGGGGATTCGAACCGCCAACCTTCTGATCGGCAAGTCCTAGGTTCTGTGGTTTAACCCACAGCGCCACCGGCAAATGAAAAAAATCTAGAAAAAGACCACAACACTGCTTCAAAACATGCAAGAGTTAAAATACTAAAACTGATTAAAATCACCTCAACTTTCCAAGCACCTGGGTAGGCTTGTCTAAACAGGAATATTTTTAGCAGGTGCCGAAAAGAGCACAGCGAAGGCTTGATCCCAATAGGCAGGGAGTTCCAAAGTGCAGGCGCTGCCACACTAAGTGATTGAGTTCTTACAAATGCTGAACAGGTATTATGTGGCACCTGTAAAGTAGTAGCAGTTCCAATGATTGAAGTGATGGAGTGTGCACATTTGGTGTAAGGTGATCTCGTAGGTTAACTGGTCCCAAGTTGCAAAGGGCTTTATATATTAACAGAAGCACTTGAACTTGGTGCAGTGACAAATCACCGGCCAGTGCAGACCTCTGAGCGAGCAAGGCCTCACTCCTGCCAGCAATCGGGCTCCAGCATTCTGCACTATGTCACAAGCCAGTCCTCTGCACCTCCAGCCAATCTGCATTTTCTGGCTGCAGCGCAAAGCTGAGACAGAGCTGCAGCTACAGTTGTTTTACTGTTTTAAATTGTTTTAACTGTTTTTAATCTGTGGAAGGCTTGTTGTTGTTGTTTGTTTATCTTGAGGGAGTAGAGATGTGTCTGGGAGGAGAGGAGCTGGGGAGATCGGGGTCGTATGGTGTGGGAGGTGCGGCAGGCTGGGTAAGTTGCACATGGATAAGGGCCCCTCCTCTAACCTGGGGATTTTCGTTGTCTGCATGCAAAGCAAGTGTGCTGCCACTGGGCTGTGGATCCTCCCCACTGCCCCCAAATGGTGCCACCTTATACTGGGTCAGATGAGGGATCTGCCCAGCTTGGAACATTGTGCTTTGACTAGCAGCAGCTCCCTGAGGTCTGTCTGTTAATGTAGGGGTGGGGAACCTTCCAGCCCACCAGCCAGGTTTGGCCTGCCAGGTCTCCTCAGTTCTGCTCAGTTACTATCTCTCTCCATCCCCATGGGCCTGTTGGGATGCATCCGAGGAGACGGGGGCATTTGGCAGGCCCCCAGCTGGCTCCAGGCACTGGCCGGCAACCGGGCAAACTCCGGTTATCGGAATAGCATCAGAAACTGTGACTCAGGCCTCAGAAGCCTTCAAAGCTTAAGCATGCAAGCCAGCAGAGATAAGAACTCTTTGCAACAGAAGAGGCAGACAGAGGAATATGTAAGCATATTTACATCATTTTATTCAGCAGCAGACATGTCTGCTTCCCTTCGTTTCCAAGCAAACAGCATAGGCAAAAGCAATATACAAACAGAAGTTCCCAGCTAGCTGTGCTGGAATGTAAACAGACATGTGACATGCAACAATCCACATAGCTGTTTCTCTCAGGGTGGAACGGAACATCAATATCCTAACAGAGCCAACTTTTGACAGGTTGGTGGCACTGCCCAGGGCTCATGTTGGCTTTTGGAGGTGGGAGATGATGATCTGGCTTTCTGGGTCAAAAAGCTTCCCCACTCTTGGCGTAGGCAGAAGGAAATGGGTGAACACTGAAAAGGCTGATTTGTCTTCTTCAGTTACCTGGGCCGGAAGAAAGTGAACGCTGAGGATGAGGAGCTTGTGGAGGACGTACGAAATCTTGTGGTGCCTGGATATTCCTACTGGACATTAGCTTACATCATCTCACGGCGAGGGGCTCAGAAACTGATTGATGCACAGCCGCTCTCCAAAATCCTCCCTGTGGATGAATTCCTGCCCATCATGTATGACAAGCACCCCAAGTAAGGATCTTGAAATATTGTGGGTTTGTTTGAATTGGCTTGGACTTCAGATGTAATAATAACAGAACAGCAGCCTTGCCTTGATGTTCTCATGGAAGCCCTGAAGAAGCACCCTGTCTGTATGGGAAAGTCTGTGGCGGGATTTAATGTGTGAGTGGGACCTGCGACAAAACGTTGTAGTGTGGAACACTTGATGGAGGAGAGGGCTGTTAATGGCTAGCCGTGGTGGTTATGTTGTGCCTCCACATTCAGAGGCAGTAATGCTTGTGGATTCCAGTTGCTGGAAACCACAGAAAGGGAGAGAATTGCTCTTGTGCTCAGGTTTTGCAGGTTTCATACAGGCATCTGGTAGACCACTGTGAGAACAGGATGCCGGACTAGATGGGCCATGGGCCTGATCCAGCCTCAGGGCACTTACTGTATGTTCGTAATGCAGGTACCATCCAGATAAACATGTATTTTTACAGGATGTTCCCTTCTATTTCTCCTTCTCACTGTTTTTTCTGTCCCGCTGCTCAGGTCACACATTCAGGGCCCCTCTAGACCCCATTTTTATGGTGAATTTGTGGTTGTTTGTTTTCATGGTGCTTTTGGGGCAGTTATGCACTATCCCACTTTCAGTTCTGTTCACACCTGCAAAAGTTTCAGGGCAGACATGCTTTTGTTTCCGTGTTGCACAGCTCCCTGCTGATAATCCTGTTAACTTTCTATACCACAAATACTCCTTTTGTTGTGCTGCAGTGCAAAAGCTTAGTAATCCAGAGGGCAATTAAGCAGCAACATAGGAGGAAGTATCTCAAAACAGCTAATAATGGGGAAGGATGTGTGGACGGTCCAGTACAAATCCACAGCTATTGTACTCTTGTTGCACCAATGACATGGCAGTATATGTCTGGGAAAACCAAACAAGCACCAACCAGTCAGAGGTGGGAGGCTTAATCTCCTATAATAATAATATCTATCTATCTATCTATCTATCTATCTATCTATCTATCTATCTATCTATCTATCTATATATCTGTACCCCACCCATCTGATTGGGCTTCTCCAGCCACTCTGGGCGGCTTCCAACAAAGATTAAAAGGACATCAAAATGTCACACATTAAAAACTTCCCTGAACAGGGCTGCCTTCAGATGTTTTGTAAATGTCAAGTAGTTGTTTATCTCTTTGACCTCTGATGGGAGGGTGTTCCACAGGGCAGGCGCCACTACCGAGAAGGCCCTCTGCCTGGTTCCCTGTAACCTCATGGTGAGGGAACCGCCAGAAGGCCCTCAGAGATGGACCTCAGTGTCCAGGCAGAACGATGGGGGTGGAGACGCTCCTTCAGATATACTGGACCGAAGCCGTTTAGGGCTTTAAAGGTCAGCACCAACACTTTGAATTGTGCTCAGAAACGTCAAGGCTGTCACACACAGATAAGGCCTCCAGAATGAGTTGGGCAGGATCATGCCTTGTAAGCAAAGAAAAGAAGAAAAGCGCCTCTCTCCCCGCCCCGCACCAATCCCTGCCTTCACTGCTCCGGCATCAGTTAAGGGAAAACATCTGTTCCTATGACTTCACTCCCTCCAGCCTGCAGAAGTCTGTGGAAAAGAATAGTCAGCAAGCCCCCAGGAGGAGGAGGAGAGGGTGTTGAGGTTTCTTGAACGGCCATTCGCTCCGTTTGCTGGAAGCATAATAGGAGCCAGGGAAATGTGGCTGATTGCCATGTCTTGGGACTGCGATGGAGAATCCTTGGTCCTCCTGATGCTCCAGGTCAGAAGTTGGGGCATAGAAGAGGCAGTTTTCCACCGGGTCCTCATGTCCCTCACAAAACATCTTCCCTTGATGCTTGGGGTGCGCTCCCAAACAGTGGGGGTTAGCATGGGGGGGGTTGCTGTTGGGGGAGGGGTATGTGAAAGTTGCCCCCCTGTTGGTGAGGAAATGGCAGGAAGGATGAACTCCCCTTTACCACCAGATCCTAAACCTCTGCTGTCTCATGGCTCTACTCATTCATGAGAAAGGTTTCAGGAGTAAACCCCAAGGAAAAATCCACACCTGATTCTTTGTGAGACACCTTCAGGGGAAGAAAAGGCTAAGCTAAGGAATAAACCCTACACAAATTCAGAGTGGAGTCCCTAAGGCAGTTGAATGGTACCTTGTACTCCTCCTGCAGCCAAGCTGGTGCCAAACGTCTTGCTCCGCTTTCCTTTAGACCACACCTGCAATGCCGAGAGGGCATTGTCTCCTGGGCAGCCCAGGACCTCATGCACACTGCCCAGGCTTGCGCTTCAGAGTCGCTCTGGTGCTGCAAATGCAGTAGTTTGCCTTCACCCCTAGAGGTGCACTCCACTGTCTCTCAAGACAGATGGATGCCGGCAACAACAACAAGGGGAACTTGTCCCCCCCCCATATCATTTTTATTAATTTTACAATACAGTCATACCTCATGTTACATTTGCTTCAGGTTGAGCGTTTTCAGGTTGTGTCCTGTGGCGACCCGGAAGTACCGGAAAGGGTTGCTTCCGGGTTTCGCTGCTTGCGCATGCACAGATGCTCAAAATGAAGTCACACGCATGCGCAGAAGTGGTGAATCACGACCCGCAGATGCGCAGACACGGGTTGCGTTCTGCTCATGTTGCGAACGGGTCTCCAGAATGGATCCCATTCGCAACCAGAGGTACCACTGTAATGCTTTCCATTACAATCTCTCCTCTTATATTACACATTTTGGCTTTTTAGGGCCATGACTTCCTTCAAACCTTCCTTGTGATTTTCTATCTTTCATTTCAAATTTCTGCATTTTCACTACTTAACCATTGCTTTCAAATCACAAACATCAAAGCATATTTTCTTATTCTTCTCTACAGTGATTTTTATATCTTTCCTTACAAAGCTTCTTGCAATCCTACCAACGTGTTTGATTGACTACAATTGTCTTTCAAATAATTCACAAATTTAGTCCAGTCCTTGATGAACTTCTGGTCCCGCTGTTCTCGGATTCTTCCCGTCATTTTGGCCAGTTCCGCATACTCCATTAACTTCAGTTGCCATTCTTCCTTTGTCGGTAATTCCTCTTGTTTCCACTTCTGTGCTAATAGAATTCTTGCTGCAGTTGTTGCATATAGGAAAAGCTTAGTATCTTGTTTGTTAATGTCTGTACCACAACAAGGGGAACTTGTGGTCCTCTACATGTTGTTGGACTCCAACTCCCATCAGCCTTAGCTGATGCTGGGAGTCCAACAACATCTGGAGGGCCTCAGGCTCCCTATCCCTGTTTTGACGGATGGGCTATTTTCCTGGCCTACCCAACTGTGTCAGTAGGCCATGATTGGCTTTGACAGGCACAGACTAAGGCCCACGCTGTGGTAAGGGGCCCCACTGTTGACCTTGAGAGCCCTCCTCTCCTTCTGCCCTGTTCAGCCTTGCAGTTGCCACATGTTCGCCTTCCCTCTCAGTTGAGCAAGGAGGAGCATTGGCCTCCACTTGCCTTGCCCGCTTCCTCTGTGCGCAGGTGCGGATTGGGCCCAGTGGGAGAGAGCAAGCAAATGGGCAACAGAGGCAGGTCTTGTTCAGCCCTCCTGCCCCTCCGCCCCCCCAAATCTGGAGTCCATCACTGGGTCACCATAGTAAGCAATGCTGGCATGTGGGATGGAGCAGCCACGCTGTGCCCCAAATAGAAAGTGGGCTCGATAGGAGAAGCTTTTGTGTCTTGCTTGCTGCATGGCTTCCCACGGGCTACACTGGCCTCTGCTCAAGACACTTCGGGAATGTGATTTACAGGCAGCCGGCTGAGGCTGAGCCAGGATTCCTGGCTGTGTTTTCAGACTTTCCATCTGTGCCAGACACTCGCTCCAAACCAGAATTTCACCTGGCCTTTTTTGGCTCTGTCTTTGCGTAATGCAAAATCTCTCTCTCTCTCTCTCTCTCTCTCTCTCTCTCTCTCTCTCTCGCACACACACAAACAAACAAACAAACAAACAAATAAAATATTGCTGTGTAGTCAATAACACTTCCTTTGCTAATGGGGATGTGAGTGTGGTCTGCATTTTGGCTCCCTTTGATCTCACTTCTCTCCCCACCCGCCCCAGTTTAGGACTGAGTTTCATGCACCTGATGAAGTGGACTCTTAGTCAATAAATGTTTATGCTAGGTTAGCCAACACTGGTTAGCCACAAGGTGGTTGATGTTGTGGTGGTGGTGGGGAATGACTTTAAAAAAATGCTTTTATTGAATTTCCAAATTATTAACAAATACAGAAGAGAGAAAACAAATTTCTGAAACAAATTCGTAGAAACTCCTTGAAAATACATTTATTTTCAGTGTTAGGAACTAATGGTGTACTTATACCAGGTAAGTTGTAGTACATTTTACAGTTGTTGCTGGACTCTGAACTCCCCACAGCTAACATAGCCAGTTGTCAAAGATGATGAAAGTCCACCAGTGCCCAATGGGGGCACCATGTTGGCTGCCTCTAACAAATTTGCAAGGTTTTAAGATGCCACAAGAGTGCCAAGTGGGTGAATTGTCTTGGAGTGCAGATGTCATAATGCAGAGCACCCTTTGAGAGTCACTGGTCAGACGGATAGGCTGATGCTTCCTTCTCCTCCCTCTCTCTCAGTGAGGATTACAAAAAGCATTTCAGCAACCGGGACCTGCGAGCTTTCTCTGTGCGCCCCCACCTCGCCTACCCAACCCACTACACCGGCGACGCCGAGTGGATGAGCGACACGGAAACCTCCACCATCTGGGACGATGACTCACGCAAGACGGGCTGGAGCGGCTCGCAAAAGACACTGAAAGACACCCATGGCAGCGTAGGCACTTCAGGCCACTCCTTCCGCCCAGCCTCTCGGGATGAGCTATAACATCTGGCTGGTAAGTAAGGCCTGGGAAACAGCTGGGCAGCAGATGTGGAACCGCTTGGGCAGAGCCGCATGCTGTAGGGCAGTTGGCTGCAGGAAGCCTTTCCCAGAAGTGATTGCTCCTCGCCCCCCCCCCCCCGCCCTGCAACTCATCTACAGCATAATGACATCTTATGCACAATTAACTTGCAAACTTGCACTGTTGAAAACAGACCGGTTGAAACTGTGCAAATTAAATGCACACCAGGTGGAGAGCTTGAAAGCTCTTTTTGAGCATGGAAGGAGCCTTGCTTACTGGGCAGTGCCCGGTCAATGTTTTTATATTACTGTACACTGCCCTGATACCTTATGAGTGGGTAGTATATAAATACTTTTACTGCATGACCAAAATAAATAAATGAGCACCTTGCAAGGAGGCTCACATTCATTACTGGGTAGGTGGTCTCCTGCAGGCCTGTATGCAGAGATGTGTGTATGTAACTTGCCGTTTGTTTGGATTCTTTGTGTGTGCGCGTGTCCTCAACGTGTCATGGAGCTAACTGGAAAGGTTCCACCCCTTAAAATAATAAATAAATCAATAACTGTCTTTCTGGAGCCACCAATTTTGCTGAGACATTGGGCGCCAGTTTGCTGAAGTCCAAAGTGTTCATTCCTGCCAAGACTCTTCAGTTCTGCCATCGTTGCTCTTTAGATTAAGGCAGCAAAGTAATAATTATCCTGGTGAGGGTTGCTACTCGCTGGACAGCTGCTTGAAATGTACTGATGTTTGTATTGAGCTCTACATCTTCAGTTGCTCATTTCTGCAGATCTCTCTTAAAAAGCAGCAAGCCAGGCCTGTTGTTTGTTTTTCTGGCCACGTCTGTGTCCTGTGAGGCTCTTTCTCCCTCCATATTTAGGGGGGGAGCAAAGTGGGTAGTTACCTGGGGTGGCACATTTGAGGAGGCAGTGCCTCCCCCAAAAGTTTGGCAAAGGCCTCACCCTAACCCAAATGATCAAGGGGATGGAGCAACTCCACTATGAAGAGAGCCTGCAGCAGTCAGGATTTTTTAGTTTACAGAAAAGACATGTAAGAGGAGACAATGATAGAAGTTTATAGAATTATGCACGGCCTGGAGAAAACCGACAGAAACGTTTTTCTCACTCTCTCAAAGCACTGCAACTCATGGACACCCAGTGAATCCGAATGTTGGAAGATTCAGGGAAGATAGAAGAAAGCACTTCTTCATGCAGAACACACGTCAAGCTCTGGAACTCCCACAGGAAGCAGCAATGGTCAGCAACCTGGAGTGCTTTGGATTAGACCATTTCACAGAGCAGAAAGCTATTGACGGTTACTAGACAGGATGGCCATGCTCTGCCAACATAGTTGGAGGCAGCAACGTTTCTGAATACCAGTTATTGGAAACCACAGGGTTTTTGTTGTTGTTGTTCCTGCTGCACTCACGTCCAGCTTGCAGGCTCCCCAACAGAGGCATCTGGTTGGCCGCTCTAGAAACAGGATGCTGGACTAGATGGGCCATTGGCCTGAACCAGCAGGACTCCTCTTATGTTCAGGCTCTGGAGCTGCTGCATTGGGCTGGTCAGTGGGGAGAACTAAGTTGCCACACCAGCCAAGGGCAGGGTCCCCTATTCTGAAAGGGAAGATGGGGCAACTCCAGAACAGCGTCCCCCAAGTTGAAGGGCAAGGAGCCCCCTGGCAAAGCAGGTGGGAGGTGGGGCAAGCTCAGAACACCCTTGCTTTGTTCTGCATCCAGGAAGCAACCTCCCCCTTTCCACTTGCCCACCTCCACTTCTTTTCTCACCACTTGTCTACTTGCCCCTAGTTGTGAAAGCAGGCTTTTCGCTCAGTCTTCCTTCTGTGTGGGGCCTCATCTTGCTAAGGAGGATGTCTCCACCCCCTTTGCACATCTCCCACACACTGCATGTGCTTGGTCATGATCCTCCTGCAGAGTCCTGTCTGCATCTACTCAGAAGTGAACCCCTCCCGTAGCTCAGAGGGGCTTACTTCTTCCAGGTATGTGGGCTTATGACTGCAGCTTCCTCTAATCATGTATACAGTTTATTACTGAAGAGGGTGGAAGTCGCTTCTGCTGAGCACTCACCATAAATACTGCGTATGAATCAAAGAAGCAGAATAATACAGTGGTACCTCGGGTTACATATGCTTCAGGTTACATACGCTTCAGGTTACAGACTCCGCTAACCCAGAAATAGTGCTTCAGGTTAAGAACTTTGCTTCAGGATAAGAACAGAAATCGTGCTCCGGCGGCAGCAGGAGGCCCCATTAGCTAAAGTGGTGCTTCAGGTTAAGAACAGTTTCAGGTTATGAACGGACCTCCGGAACGAATTAAGTACTTAACCCGAGGTACCACTGTATAGAGAGCTGAAATATGTGTGAATTTTACATTGTTTTCCCTGTCTGCCCCTAATTTGGGTGATTTGGAATCGGGATGGGTTTCTTTTTTTATTTTATATTCTTCATTGAAAAATTCAAAAGTACAAAATTGCAAGTGCGCAGAGTAAGATAAGACACAAAGAAGAGGAAACAAGAAATAGTACCTATGTAGAAAACAAAACAGAAGAGGATATTGTGTACGTTACAAAAAAAGGGGGGACACTTGTTATTGTAGTTAAGCAGACTTTAATCTATACGTTTGGGTTTCTTTTTACATTTATACCCCACCTTTCCCTCAAGGAGGGTACAAGGTTCTTTCCTTTCTTTGTTTTATCCTCATAACACCCCTGTGAGGTAGGGCCTTGAACTGTGAAGGACTGACTGGTCCAAGGTCAGCCAGTGAATTTCATGGCCAAGTGCAAGGGGAGGATTTGAACCTAGGTCTCCCAGATCCTAGTCCAACATCCTAACCACTGCATAACACATCACGGACAAACAACCTTGTAAATGAAAAATCTGGCAGTTTTTAGTCCAAGGAAAGAGGGATGCATTCTCCACAAGCCCCACCCTCTGTCCCACTTCTGTGGATTTCTCTCTGATTTGTGCCTTGTTTGTGTGGGAGGTTTTAGCACTAGCAGGAGCCTGACATCTGGGCAAAACCTGCGACCCTCTAAAGCAGTGTTTCCCAACCTTGTGCCTCCAGCTGTTTTTGGACTACAATTCCCATCATCCCTTGCCACTGGTCTTGCTAGTCAGGGATGATGGGAGTTGTAGTTCAAAAACAGCTGGAGGCACAAGGTTGGGAAACACTGCTCTAAAGAACCTGGAAACCAGAGAAAACTCAGCAGCTGGAACATGGCTCTGAATCCTCCTGCCCTTATCCTGATTTCAGGCAGTTGGCCTCAGCTCCCAAATGCCGCGTGGGCTTCCTCTGCTACTCTGGCTGACTCTTTCTCTCCTCTGGACTGCCTGTGTGTCTTGCAGAGCCTAAACAAGCAGGAGTTTCAAAAGACTCTGTCTAAGGACATGTGCTGAGGCTCAGTGCTGCTTTTGTGAGTTCCCTGAAGCTCCTAGGACAGGAAATCCCGAGAAACTGCTCAGATTCCGAGGTAAACAAACAACGGCTCTGTGCTCCCTGCAGCTGGAGGGTCAGGAAAGTCTGGTTTGCTTTGCTGTTAGCCAGCTGGTTCTCAGCTGTTGCCTCCTGCACCCCCACTTTTTGAAAAAGATCCTACATACTGGTGATGCACAGGGAAAGGAAATGAAGCAAGCAAAGCACTGCACTCGGAGCCCGCTTGCTGTTCCCTGTGTCAAGAATGCAACCACAGAATAATGAAAACCATGCAACGCAGGTCGCTATAAGCTGGATCGGTTTCCTGCAACGAAGATATTTCTGGGTCCCAGTTTGCATGTGCTGGTTAATGATTTGCCGCAGGAAAGAGGAGCTTCAGACCCAGGAGCCAAATCTGACCCTCCTGGCCTCTCTGTGTGTGACTGTTCACTGGCTGCACCCATTACCAGCCTTGGCTTTGGGACCTTCATGAGTGCTTTTGCCTGGCTGGAATGTGTCTTTGAACTCTGATCATGCCTCTTGGTTCCCTGGATGGAGGGTAGAGGGCAATCTGCACATGTGTGCAGAAACTAGCCTACTGCACAAAGGCAAAAAGCACATTCATTGTATACTCCCCCCCCTTTTTTTTCTGGCCCTGCCTAAGACCATAAAATTCCTATCACACCACCACTGGCATGCTATGAAATTGTCTATTCCCCTCACAGACCTACAATCCCCAGTGTTTCCTGTGAAGAGGGATTGATTGTTTAAGCCACCCTGGGAAGGGAACAGGGTATCCCTTATAAACTTTCAGCACGCTTAACAAACTGCATCTCAAAGGAAGCTGTGTTTGTTTAAAGTGGTTTGATAGCACTTTAAAGATACAGTATGAATGTGGCCTTAATCTTACTCCTCTTACTATGATTGCTGCCATTGGGCAGGTTTATATGTTGACAGTGTGTGCCTTGAAATTCCATGCAAATCACAGAGTTTTGTAATTTGTCAATAATGAGAATCTTGGCTTCCTTTTAAACAGCAACGAAGGACAAGTTCCTAGCCCCTGTGCCCCGAAAGCAATCCCTGCGAAAACAGCAGCTGGTGGAATAAGTACCTTGCTTATCATTGCACACAAGGCCTATGTCTCCAACTATAGCAGCAGGTCTATGCCAAAGTGTTTTCTTCCTCCTCTCTTATCAGTAAGTTTTACTCTGTCCTAATAACACCCATCTCTTCCTTTTCCCCTCCCAGGTGTACCTGCTGCAGCCCATGAGCGAGAAGACGATGACAGATCAAGGACTGGTTCCCCCACTCACCACCTTGTGTTAGGACACTGTGTTTGCTTGAGCTGTGTTGAACAGGGAAACGAATGCACCGTGTGCAAAACTTGCATCAAAGACCAGTTTGTGCTCTGCCAATGCCTCTGGAATTTCCCTTTTTGGATGACGGTGGAGTTTTGGGGTGCTGCAATATTTGTGCTCTCCTAGCAGCAAAAGCTTCCTTCACTTATACGATGGTTTGGAGCTGATATTGGCACCAGCTGGGTGCCTTTGGCTGTTTTCCTTTCTCCACAACACACGCACACGGCACTTGCAAGAGACCTAATTTCTGCAGCCTGCTGAGATGTAGATTGGTTTGTGCAGATGTTTGCTGTCAGAACAGGCCATTCCAACTTTTTTTATATAAAAAAGACTGTCCAATTTGGATAAATAATCTGCACAGCGATTGGAGTTTTCTGCCCTGCCTGGCATTGCCATGGGCATGGCTGGTATAGAGAGACAGTGTCTTCACTGAACACCAAAGGAGGGGAGAACCTCTGGCCCTCAAGATCTTTCTATCAGGCCTTTGACATCTTCCTGAAGCCACACACCCCTTCAGTCCCTTCCCTGGGTGAAATGTGTTGTTCAGCAGGGATATAGTGGCCCTTGCTTACCAGGGTGGAGCAACAGGTGTGGATGTATATATGGGAAAACCTCTCAACATTTGCATGGTTGGAATCTGGCTTACGGTACAAATGGCAGAAGTTACACCTGATGCTTCACTCACTCTTGCCTCTGCCCCCCCCCCCAGAAGGCTGCTAGTAAGTGAATGTTTCCCCTAAGCCAGCTAGGAGACCTCAGGACTGCCTCTTTGACTTAAAACAACAACAATTTTCACAGTATAGCAAAATAGAAAACACCCATAGAATCAAGAAGAAAGAACACTTCTCTCAGAAGAGCAAGATAACAAAGGCTAAACAAATGTACCTCACTATACATAGCTGGCCATGTCTTGCTGGAGGATGCATAACTGAAAACATTTAAGATAGCTAGGGTTTTTTTAGCTGTACATTCTTGGATTGCATGGGGTTAGACTAGTTGACCCTTGGGGTACTGTCCAGCTTTATGGCTCTGTGGTTCCATATTTCTTTGAAGTTGTTTTCCATTTGTGGTCCATTTAGTGCTCTTAATTGTTGGGTTTGCTTTTCCATAAGAGCTGCTGTGCAAACCTCCCTGCTTCCAAACAGCCGACTGTAAATTATGCGAAGTTCTCCCGTTTTGAGTAATCTGTTGATCAGCTGCCACCAGCAGGGATGGGATTAGTTAGGACCTCCACGTTGGCTGAAAGACTGTGTGCTGCCTGTTGACTCTGGAGTTCTTCAGTTCCAGTTCTCTCTCCACTGTCAGCTTCCTCTGGCACACCATTTCCTCAACTCTTCGTTGCATTTCTTAAAAAAGCAAAACTAGTAAATCAAACTGAAGGTTAAATTTGATCTCTTATTTAAATGGACAGAGCCATATCTTCACTGTATTCTTGTTCCCCTCTCCAAAGCTATGGGGTGATATCCACTGGCCATAACCAAGGTAGACCCATTGACTTCAGGAATTTCATTTATTTCATTGGGTGTCCTCTCAATATGACTTGGGTGGATATCACCCATCATTGCCAACTTTTTCTGCCAATGTTCTTCTGCCCTTTAAGGCCCCTTTACAAACAGAGGGACGCGGGTGGTGCTGTGGGTTAAACCACAGAGGCTAGGACTTGCTGATCAGAAGGTCGGCAGTTTGAATCCCCACGACGGGGTGAGCTCCCGTTTCTCGGTCCCTGCTCCTGCCAACCTAGCAGTTCGAAAGCACATCAAAGTGCAAGTAGATAAATAGGTACCGCTCTGGCGGGAAGGTAAACGGCATTTCCGTGCGCTGCTCTGGTTCACCAGAAGTGGCTTATTCATGCTAGCCACATGACCCGGAAGCTGTACGCCGGCTCCCTCGGCCAATAAAGCGAGATGCACGCCGCAACGCCAAGGTCGGCCAAACTGGACCTAATGGTCAGGGGTCCCTTTACCTTTACAACAAACAGAAGTCCAGCGTATGATGTTTTCTCCACCAACATGTCTCCATGCTGGGCAGGGCAGGGGACTTCACCAGCTGGATATAAGTTTGTACAGGTGTTAACAGCACAAGGCCCTGTGCAGGAGGGAAATCTGGCAACCTTGAATGTTTAGGGTACATGCTAACCTGGAGCATTTGCACTTCAGCCGTCGTGGGTTCTGATGGTCAGGAATCTAGCATGTAAACCTAATGCTGTGATGAGAAAATTGTAGCTGTGCTATGGGGCGGGGGGGGGGGAGAGCAGAATTACAATAAATGCATAAAGAAATTTGCATTCTTATTTTGTCTTGGTTATTTTAGTTATTTTTAAATATTGATGAAATTCCACATGAGTTGCTCAATGCTCAAATCCTACGTCAGTGCTTTTAAGTCAGAGATTAAAAGAAGCTGCTTTTATGCCTGGCCAGAGAAGTGATAAATTTTGCGTTCGATAGGTCTTGTGACAAAACCATAAGTACAGACAATATCAAAATAAAAAAAACAAAGCCTCTACTTGAACAAATGGGACCATGTAATGCAAGTGGGACTATAAATGAGAAGCCTCCATGACTACATACAGTATATTTAAATTTACTGCTGTTTTGTCTAGTTATCTCTTCCTAATCTTCCTTGCCACCAGAGCAAAAAGGGCCGCTTTGTGAGTCACAAAGGTGTTAGAGTCACTCAACCCCCGCAGAACCCTCTGTGCCAAGGGGAGGCTGCTTTCTTGAACAAACAGGGTTTAGAAAGCACCTCCTAGGCTCTGTTTATAATGGACAATATAACAAATAATGAAGACTATATTCTACCTGGGACGCGGTAGTGCTGTGGGTAAAAGCCTCAGCGCCTAGGGCTTGCCGATCGCATGGTCAGCGGTTCAAATCCCCGTGGCGGGGTGCGCTCCCGTTGTTCGGTCCCAGCGCCTGCCAACCTAGCAGTTCGAAAGCACCCCCGGGTGCAAGTAGATAAATAGGTACCGCTTACTGGCCCGAAGGTAAACGGCGTTTCCGTGTGCGGCTCTGGCTCGCCAGAGCAGCGATGTCACGCTGGCCAAGTGACCCGGAAGTGTCTGCGGACAGCGCTGGCTCCCGGCCTATAGAGTGAGATGAGCGCACAACCCTAGAGTCTGTGAAGACTGGCCCGTACGGGCAGGGGTACCTTTACCTTTACCTTTAATCTTCCTTGCCACCAGAGCAAAAAGGGCCGCTTTGTGAGTCACAAAGGTGTTAGAGTCACTCAACCACCGCAGAACCCTCTGTGCCAAAGGGAGGCTGATTTCTTGAACAAACAGGGTTTAGAAAGCACCTCCTAGGCTCTGTTTATAATGGACAATATAACAAATAATGAAGACTATATTCTACCTGTGGTTGCCCACATGGCTAGAAACTTGCACAGCCTTAAAATGAAAGTACCTGGTGGTGGGTGGCAGCAGCACAGGGTAGGCAGCCCCCCCCCCCATTTTAACATCCTAGAATGTCCTATAGCAACACTGAATGAGCCCAGCCATGGCCAGAGATACTGCAAGGGTGAACCCGGGGCCTTGACGCATGCAGCTGGGCATCCTGCTTCTTATAACAAAGGTGGCATTTTTTCATCTCTGCCAAGCTAAGCAGTTGGTCCCTTACCTTTCCCGCCCTGACTTGGCCACAGTGACCCATGCGACGGTCACCTCCAGTCTTGATTATTGTAACTCGCTCTACGCGGGGCCGCCCTTGAAGCTGACCCAGAAACTCCAGCGGGTGCAGAATGCTTCAGCGAGGCTTCTTATGGGGTCCTTGCCATGGGATCATATTCATCCAGTGCTTTACCAGCTGCACTGGCTCCCAGTGGAGTACAAGGTCAGGTTTAAGTCGCTGGTTTTGACCTTTAAAGCCCTATACGGCCTAGAACCCTCATACCTACGGGACCTTAAGGTCCACAAATAACAACACTTTGGAGGTCCCGAGCCTCAAGGAGGTTAGATTGGTTTCAACTAGGGCCAGGGCCTTTTCAGCACTGGCCCCGATCTGGTGGCACGCTCTGTCACAGGAGTCTAGGGCCCTGTGGGACTTGACATCTTTCTGCAGGGCCTGCAAGACAGAGCTGTTCCACCTGGTTTTTGGCCAAGGCACAGTCTGACCCCCTCCTTCGGTAATCCTCACAGAACTCTAGCCCAATGGTTGCCATTAATTTGATTTTGAATTGATTTTAGAATGAATTGATTTTAGAATGCTGTGTTACTTTTATTGTTGTTAGCCACTCTGAGCCCGGCTTCAGCTGGGGAGGGCGGGATAGAAATAAATTGTTGTTGTTGTTGTTGTTGTTGTTGTTGTTGTTAAGTGATAATTCCTTCCCACAGTGGGAACCAGGCCCCTGTCCACAGACTTCACAGTAAAGGAGAATCAAACCCTTGTTTTTTGTTTAATATTTTTATTAAAGTTTTCTTGGTTTACAAAGGTATGCGCAATGTCTCTTTTTTTCAAAACAAAAAAAAATACACATCTGTGTATCTGAAGAAGTGTGCATGCACACGAAAGCTCATACCAAGAACTAACTTAGTTGGTCTTTAAGGTGCTACTGGAAGGATTTTTTTTTGTTTTGACTATGGCAGACCAACACGGCTACCTATCTTTTTTCCAAGTTACATTTTCCATAGGTCAGTTTCATTTGTTGAGGGTTACATTAGGAATAAAAGGGGGGGGGAGGTGATGTTTCTAATTTGCTTAATGTATGTGTGGGGTTTGGTGTCAGCATTGCTTGTGCGGGTTCTCTGCTGTTCCCTTGTGTTCCTTTGGTGGTGAGAGAGGTTGGGGTTGGCCTAGGGTGTGGTTGTTCATTTGTGGTTGGCTGTGGTGGTCTTTGTTTTCATGTGTGAGTGGGTGGGTGGGTGTTTTGGATCAGGTTAGCCATATTGATTCATATGCTATTGGTGGATTCTTGTCATTGTCTTGTTGGGCTGTGTATGTGATAAAGGGGAGCCATACCGGGGTGAAGGCATCTTTCTATTTGTCCCCGTGTGAGTTTCTGTTTACAGTGGTACCTCGGGTTACATTTGCTTCAGGTTACATTTGCTTCAGTTTACAGGCTCCGCTAACCCAGAAATATTACCTCGGGTTAAGAACTTTGCTTCAGGATGAGAACAGAAATCGCACAGTGGTGGCGCAGCAGCAGCAGGAGGCCCCATTAGCTAATGTGGTGCTTCAGGTTAAGAACAGTTTCAGGTTAAGAACGGACCTCCGGAACAAATTAAGTACTTAACCCGAGGTACCACTGTATTCTATAATCTAATTATAGATTAGATTATAGATTATAGGTGTAGTGTGGATTTTATCTGGATCCATTTGCGTATACAGTGGTACCTCAGGTTACAAACGCTTCAGGTTACAGACGCTTCAGGTTACAGACTCCACTAACCCTGAAATAGTACCTCGGGTTAAGAACTTTGCTTCAGGATGAGAACAGAAATTGTGCAGCGGCGGAGCAGCAGCAGCAGGAGGCCCCATTAGCTAAAGTGGTTTCAGGTTAAGAATGGACCTCCGGAACAAATTAAGTTCTTAACCCGAGGTACCACTGTATTGCTTAATTTTTCTGGTAGGGCTGTTTCCCATACTATCCCTTCTAAACGAAAGGAAACTGCTTGTGGTGTCTTTGAGGGAGGTTTCCTGGCCCTTTAAGCTTTCATTCCAGATGGGCACGCCCCCCCCTTCCCACTGTTGCTATGTACATCTCCTCCACCCTAGTGACAGCACAACCATTCTGCCTCTGAAAGGGCCCTGGCGGCATTCCCTTTCGACCTCGCCATCCCTGAATCTCCCGCTCTCAGCAAGAGAAAACCCCAGCAACACCAATGGCGCCCAAGAAGAAAGGAGGAGGAGGAGGAGGGCGCAAGAAAGAAGAGGCTGCCAAGGAACCAGAGCTGGATGATGATATCGTACCTGAACACAGCCGGGAGTTTTACTTGATTCAGATCCGAGATCTGGAGGGGCGACTAGCCCGGTGGGTAAAGGGGTGTGTGTGTGTGTGTGTGTGTGTGTTTGTTTGTGTGTACACTGTATTCTCTGAGGTGTATAGGGAAGGGCAGCTGGAACAGAGCATAGACACCGACTTCCACAAATCTTTGCTATGCATTTGCTCCTTAGATGGGGCATATGGAAAGCATCCCCTTTCTTGGTAGCCAGGGGTACCATCAGGGTAGGATTTGGGTGCTGAATTATCAAATCATAGAATCAGTGAGCTGGAAGAGACCACAAGGGTCATCTAGTCCAACCCCCTGCAATGCAGGAGTCTTTTTGCCCAATGTGGGGCTTGAACCAGCGACCCTGAGATTTAAGAGTCTCATGCTCTACCGACTGAGCCAACTCTACCTGGGGCCCCACTGTGCAGAAGGAGCACACAGGCTGGATTCCTGCATGGTAAGGTGGTGCCCAATGTGAACCCTACTTGGAGTGCACCCATCCTAACGAATGGGCCATGGCCAACTTAGGCTCATTCATCTCAATGGCTCTGCTCGTGGGTGTCAAGTTAGCTGGTTACAACCCGCTGCATTTGGAACGGGTTCTGGGTTCCTGCCTCTTGACTGATCTTCTTTCGCTTAGGTACCAGAAGAAATGGGACGAGATGCAGGTGAGCGAGGAGATCTTCCGCAATGAATACGAGAAGATGCTCCATGACAACAAGGAGATTGTGTCCTTTCTGAAGAAGACGCTCAACCAGCGGGTGGATGAGATTGCAGAGTTGACGGAGCAGCTCCAGTTACTCCAGCAGGCCAAAGACACAGAGAAGGACGCCTTTGAGGCCCAGCTAGGCCAGCTGAGGCACGAGTTCCAGGAGACCAAGGATCAGCTGACTTCTGAGAATATGAACCTCAGTAAGGCTGCCAGGCCGCTTTTTGGAAAAAGCAAAGGGGAAGGAGGTTTAGGTTCCTCTGCTTAGCTCCACAGGCGGAGTGTGCCTGTGTAGAGCACACTAGAAAGGAGTTGCGTTCAGTTGCTTTCCAGGACAGTGCCTGCCTTGCATCTGCAGCACTTTTAAACTCTATTTTCAGTTAACTGAAAATAACGCCAAGCCTCTGAAGCATGCTGAAGGTAAAATCAGAGCATGTACTTCTGTTGTTCCTAATCTATGTGTACATAATTCCACAATCCAGGCTGCAAATGTCATTGGCTATGTAGTCAGAAAAGCACCACCCGTGCGCAAGAGGATGTGTGTCTCCTACCAGGAGTCTTGATGAGGCAGTTGCTTCAGCGGCAGAGACGGGAGGGGCAGCAGGTGTGGATTTGGGGCCCCACCTGCCTCCCTGCCTTGCAGAGACCTCAGAAGTGCTCCAGGGGACGGCGCCAAGGAGAAGGACATGGCTGCACCTCTCTTTCTTGCCCCTACTGATACCTCCTTTTAGCAACTGGGCACAAGGAAGGAGTTAGATTCCAAACAGGCTGAGAGGGGTGTGGGGATGGGTGGCTGCTGCCCTGGTGAGTCAGGCAGTCAGACCAGGTGCAAGACCTGGCTGAGGGCACAAAGTTCTCCATGGCACTCCTGAGGTGAGGTCACTTGGGTGGCAGAGGGGCAGGTAGAGGCAGGCAGACAAGGGGGTGGGGTGGGCAAACGAGTGCCATCCTGGCACATGGAGGCCGCCTCAGATGGGCAGCCAAGTTGATCACTTGGCTGCCTGGCCGGGCTCTCTGTACTTAGAAAACCAAAGGGAAAGAAACAGAGCCCCCAGGTTCAGGGGCAGTCTACCTCTGCATAACAGGTTACAGGGATGGGCACTGTTTCCTTGTTCACCTCAGGTAGCAAAATATATTGAGCTGGCTATATTCATACCCCAGTATGATGACTGGGGCCTAAGGGGGTTGCCTAAAGTCAGAATTTCTGGTCGCTAGGTGGCAAGCTGGCTGCCCTGGAGGATTTTAGGATCCACAAAGATGAGATCATGTCGAAGTTTGCCGAACTCGAGGCACAACTGAAGAAGCAAGCAGAAGACCACAAGGATTACATCTATAACCTGGAGAGGAAAGCTGTGATTGATAAAGAGAGGTGTGTGCTGTGGGATGGGGGTGACCAGCCTTCGCCAACCTAGTGCCCCCCGGATGCTTTGAACTACAACTCCCATCAGCTGGCTGGGGCTGACGTGAGTTGTAGTCTGAAACATCTGGGGGACACCAGGTTGGTGAAGGCTGGGGTTGACCAAGGGCGCCATTGTTTCAGGTGTTCAGTAGGATGGAACACATGCAGACTACAGGCTTTGCAGAACTGTATTGTTCTTGTTCTTATTTATTTATTTGCAATGACATCATGGTTCAGCCAACTGGAGCTGGTAGCAATACAATGGCAGAGTAGTGAGGGGAAGAGCTACAGGCAAAATGGCGGGCCCAGGGGTGGAGACATGCTCTGCTGAGATGGCCTGCCTATCCAAACCCAGACATCCCCACTGTGAAACTAGAGATCGGGGGTTCTAATGTAACCAAGATTCAGTATATGGAAAGGGACTAAATATCAAGTGGTGTGAGACACCTGGAGAGCCAGTGCCTGTCAGAGCAGGCAATTGCTGGCTTGGTGAAGGCAAATTTTTGTTTCTTATTTATTTATTTCACTGGTTGGAAAAAAAACACACCAAAAAAGCCCAAGACAAACTTCAAAGTGGTTTACAAAAAATAAAGCAGTAAAATCAAGAAAAATGTGCAACCCTACTTTCAAATATATGAAAGTTAAATTACCAGAACAGATTAAAATTACCTCTCCATTCTAAGCATCTGGATAGGATTGTTGAAACAGGAATGTTTTTAGCAGAGGTCGAAAAGCGTACATTGAAGGCGCCTGCTTGATCTCAAGAGGCAGGGGGTTCCAAAGTGTAGGTGCTGCGATCGATTTCTTACAAATGCAGAACAGGTATTATGTGTCACCTGTAGTAGTGCCAATTCTGCTTATTAAAGTGGTCAAGTGGGCACATGTGGGGTAAGGCGATCTCTCAGATAAGCTGGTTCCAAGTTGTTATGTACTTATAGTAGCACTTTGAACTTGACCTGGTAGCAAATTGGCAATCAGTGCAGACCTTTGAGCACAGCTGTTGTATGCTGACAAGGCCTCACTCCCGTCTGCAACTGTGCTGCAACATTCTGCACTAACTGCAGCTTCCAGATCGAGTGTGAGGGAAGCCCCACATAGAGCACAGTGCAGAAATCCAGGCTTGAAGTAACCGGTGCATGAACTACGGTGGCAAGTCTTTATTGGTCCAGGAATGGCCATAGCTGTTGAAAGGTTACCCACCCCTATTATAGGACAACAGTGTGATTTTAAAAAATGTATATTTTGTCATTTCCTGGATTGCAAATTCCTTGAATCCTGTAATGCAGAAAAGCATGAAAACAGGCTGATGAGTTGGGCCTTTGGCCTGATCTAGCAGGACTTATGGTGGTACTGAAATTACAAATGAAATGAAATGGCACATGTTGCCTGGGGCAGTAGGACAGATGATCCTTGGATGCTTTCCAGAGGGCTTCCTACTAGACCAGGGTGGCTCAGACACTGGCCAATCCGCCTTTGCCACCTCCCAGCTGCAAGGCCAGGAGCTGTGCCTACTGCCAGCTCCATGCTGGGATAATGAGCCAGTGTGGTGTAGTGGTTAAGAGCAGTGGACTCATAATCTGGTGAACTGGGTTCGCTTCCCCGCTCCTCCACATGCAGCTGCTGGGTGACCTTGGGCCAGTCACACTACTCTGAAGACTCTCAGCCTCACTCACCTCACAGAGTGTTTGTTGTGGGGGAGGAAGGGAAAGGAGAATGTTAGCCACTTTTAGACTCCTTAGGGTATATCAAAACCAAACCCTTCCTCTCTTCTTCCTTTCTCTCTCTCTCTCAGGTTAAAGAAGGAGATGATGCACCGTGTGAATACGGTGGCTGCTGAGTTCCGCAAGGTGGCCCACAGCCAGATGGCAGAGACCACTAAGCGCACCATCCGGGAGAATGTCACCATCAGCTTCCAGCTGACCAAGATAACTGAGCAGAGCCTTCAGCTCCTCCAAGAGAACGAACGGCTCAAGGAGGCCCACTCAGAAGCTCTGAAGCAGCTGGAGCTGCTGGAGGAAAACGAGACAAAGATGGCACAGAACAGCCTCAGCAACCAGAAGGTAAGAATTGTCCTTTGCAAAAGTTGCGGGCTGGGCCACAATTTATGCTTGGGGTGGCCAGCATGGTACTTTCCGAATGCTGTTAGACTCTGACTCCAATAACACAGTGGGTAATTCAGAAGTGCATGAAATTCCCTTCAAAGTAGTCACAACCACACAACTTCACAGCTGCATCCACTTCTAAGATTATACAATCCTCTTTAAAAGATACAGTCCACTTCTTCATGTGGCATTTGGCTAAACTATGGAGCTTGCTTCCACAGGAGGCAGTGATGGTCGCCATCTTGGATGGTTTAAAAGAGGACTGGACAAATTCGTAGTGGAGGAGAAGGCTATCAATGGCTACTAGCCAGGATGGTCACACTCTGCTTCCACAGTTTGAGGCAGTGATGCTTCTGAATTCCAGTTGCTGGAAAGCTCAGGAAGGGAAAGTTGCTCTTGTGCTCAGGTCCTGGTTTCCCTTTAGGTCACCTGGTCGGCCACTATGAGAACAGAATGCTGGAACAGACAGGCCATTGGCCTGATCCTGCAGACTCTTACATTCTTACAACAACAATCAATGAGAACCTCCATGCACTGCCTTCCAGCTAGATCTACTGCATTCTGATCATGTACTTGGACAAATTATTTGGAGTGCTCCAGGAGCTACAGGTGAAACTTGAAAAATTAGAATATCATGGAAAAGTTCATTTATTTCAGTAATTCAACTTCAAAGGTGAAACTAATATATGAGATCGACTCATGACATGGAAAGCGAGATGTGCTTCCGCTTCTCCGAGGTCCAATCTTGCTCGATTTGCAATCCTTGTTTTGCTGATTTCCTTGAATATTCTAATTTTCTGAGATTGTTAATTTGGGGTTTTCATCAGCTGTACGTCATGATCATCGCAATGATAACAAATCAAGGCTTGGCATATCTCGCTTTGCATGTCACGAGTCTATCTCATATATTAGTTTCACCTCTCAAGTTGAATTAGTGAAATAAAGGAACTTTTCCACAATATTCTAATTTTTCGAGTTTCAGCTGTACTTTTGGAGTGACTGAAGTTGCGCTTTCCCTGAAGTTCCATTGTACGTAACAGAACTTGCACACCATTCTCTTGAAACTGAAGCTCCTTTTGTTTTCAGTGTTGCTAAAAGCTTGGCTTTGGAGCATGCCAGACTCCTCCTCCTTTGTGTCCTTCCTGCATACCTTCTCCAGAGTGACCCTGGTAGTCCATCCTCAGTGACTCCAATCAGCACAAAGGGTGGGAATACTTATTTTCAGTGGTTAGAAACTTATTGGGCAGTCTTGGACCATGGCACCTTTGTATAATTCCCATCAGCCTCAACCACCATGGTCAATGGTCAGGGATGATGGGAACTGTAGTCCAAAACATCTGAAGGACCCTACATTGACTACCCATGAAAATGAAACAGCAGCTGACTCCCATGTTGCATTTTCTGCTCATCAGGATAACAAGAGCCAGTGACATGATCCAGGGCTGATGCTTTTGTGCACCACTTGAGTAAATCCACCCAGCTAATAGGCCCAGGTGTCCAAGCAAAGGGCATAATAAAGATATTTAATAAAATAAAATGATAATAAATAATAATAATAATTTATTATTTATACCCCGCCCACCTGGCTGGGTTTCCCCAGCCACTCTGGGCGGCTTTCAACAAAACACTAAAATGCAATAACATATTAAACATTAAAAGCTTCCCTAAACAGGGCTGCCTCTAACATCCCAACCTTGTGCCTCCCATGTTACTAGACTCCAACTCCCATCATCCCCAACTTTGCTCATGCTGGCTGGGGATGATGGGAGTTGGAGTCCAACATTACCAGAAGGGCATCAGGTTGTGGGAAAGCTGATATTAGTTACTATATTATATTCAAATGGTGCTGAACCTTTCCACACCCAGCTGAAGGCAGAATGCAGACTACTGATCACCTGTGTATGTGACAGGTATAATAATAATAATAATAATAATAATAATAATAATAATAATAATAATTTATTTATACCCCGCCCATCTGGCTGAGTTTCCCCAGCCACTCTGGGCGGCTCCCAATCAGTGTTAAAAACAGTAAAGCGTTACATATTAAAAACTTCCCTGAACAGGGCTGCCTCAAGATGTCTTCTGAATGTCAGGTAATTATTTATCTCTTTGACATCTCACATGTGCAGGTATGCTCACATGTGCATATTTGGTACACAGATGATCTGGATGCTCACCAACAAGTGCAAGGAGCTGCAGGCGCAGGTGGAAGAGTACATGCAGATGAAGAAGGTCATGACCCAAACACAGGAGACCAATGAGGTGCTGGAGCAGCAGAACGTGGCGCTAAAGTTAGTACAGGCATCTCTCTCTCTCTCTCTCTCTCTCTCTCTCTCTCTCTCTCTCTCCCTCTCTCTCTCTCTCTCAAGAGTCAGAGTCAGTTTTTTCACTGCCCTGGCTTCTTTCCTGGTTAGGCGCTGCTGGTTGTCGACTAACTGTCTTGTTTCTATTCCTGGTCTGGCCTTCTCCTGCCCCACTCAGAGAGGAGCTGACTCTGCAGAGGCAGGAGATGCAACGGAAAAGCAGTGAAGAGGAAAGCCAATCAAAGGCCCTTGAAGAGGAGCATCAGCTGCGGCTGAATGCTGAAAGAATCCTCAGGCACACTGCCCAGGGCCTCAAGGAAGTGCTGCTGGTGAGTGTCTGGGACTATAGGGACACTGTTGGGAGGGTTTTGAGACCTTTTGCCACATTAAGAAAATCCAAGTTGATTGGCCTTATGAGCTTTGGCTGATTTTTATGGGTCAATATTGCATCTCTTTGCATTTGAGTTGTCTGTCTCGGGAGACAATGGAGGAGTGCGCCTTTGGGGGTGAATTCAAACCAGCAGAGAGTTACAGCACCTGCTGTGGCTGTGGAGACTGATATGGGAGAGACATGTTTTGTTGCAGCTGGGGCAAAGGAAGGTGTCCAGTTGTGCTGTTGCAGGTGCACCCAGGCATTTATTCTCTCTGCGCTCCTCCCAGCAGTCATTCCTTCTCTGGTTACTGCTAAGGATGCACAACCTGTCTCTTCTGCAGGCACTGTGGTCGTTTGCAAGTGATTCCCACACTGTGGGGGTGATGTTTCCAGTCTTCATGTCACATCTGCAGAAATCTTTGTAACACAGAGTTGGTTTGCCAACAGGTCTGGTGCCTGAAACCATCTTTCCATAGAGGAGATCCTGCCATCTTCCATTCTCTGAACAGGATCAAGCTAGTAAAAGCCAAACTCTTGCTTTTACTTTTGTAAAACTTGCTTTTGTAGGTCCTGCATCGAGCAAGGGGTTGGCTACAGTTCTATGAACTAACCTAAACTGTCTGCTTCCTGTAAGCATTTGGGCTGGGCAAACTGGGATCACATACTTGCCCACTTCAAACTTTGCATTTTATTTGAAGTGTGGGAAACAAATATGGTGGAAATCTAAGAGGGTTTTACAGTCGTGTTCTTCCTCTTCACTCCCACAGGAACGCCCATCTGATGAGGATGAGGATGGCCACTTTGACGTGATGTTCCACTTAAGGCGCAATGATGTGCTGCAAGCCACCTTGAATCTCCTGAACAGAAGCATCGCACGCATCGAGGCCAATCAGCTTCTCCGGACTCTCTATGTAGAGAGCAAGGTGTTCAAACCTACCAACTCAGAGGGCAGCAGGTAAGAAAGGGGATGAGATCCATGAGGGTTGGGAGGGGTGCCACTGCCTGTTGGTAAAGGTAAAGGTACCCCTGTTAGGTCCAGTCGTGGCCAACTCTGGGGTTGCGGCGCTCATCTCGCTTTACTGGCCGAGGGAGCCGGCGTACAGCTTCCGGGTCATGTGGCCAGAAGGACTAAGCCGCTTCTGGCGAACCAGAGCAGCGCACGGAAATGCCGTTTACCTTCCCGCCAGAGTGGTACCTATTTATCTACTTGCACTTTGATGTGCTTTTGAACTGCTAGGTGGGCAGGAGCTGGGACCGAGCAACGGCCCCCACCATTAAATTTCTAATTTGTATACATAACAAGGGGGTTGGACTATATGAGCCTTGAGGATGCCTTCCAACTCTAATATCCAAGGAAATAGTCTTACCAAAGAAAATAATTCCAGTCTATCCAGTCTACAGCAATCATAGTTCATATGCCAATTCTCAATATAAGCTTAACATCATAGGCACCAATTCTATAGGGCTGAGATGTATTCAGCCCCTGCAAAGTTTGTTGGGATGAGCCCCTCCAATCTGGGGGGGGGGGGGAGGCCCTGCAGTAACAGCCCTTGTTGAGCCTTGTGGCAGCAGTGGGAGGCCTCAACAAACGTCATGGCGCCCATGATGGGAAACCCCCAATGTTGGGTGAAACTCTCTGCCTCTGCTTAGCGTGGAAGTTATCAGTCTACACAATCGTATCCACAGGCATTCCTGAGATGAAAGAGGAAGGAAAGGTCTCTCTCCTTTATTAGCACATGCAAAAAAAAAAAGAAAAAAAAAGGGGGGGAGCCACAGGTTGCCAAAATTCTGCCTTGATCTGAAATGGCCACTTCCCAAACATTACAAGCCTGGCTGCTGTTAATAAAATGCAGATTGGCTCCTTATGCATATTAATGTCTAATGAGGAGTGCAAGGGCCTGCTCCAAAGATGTACACGTGATTCAAATGTCTCATCCCAAAGCTCTCATACTACTGTGTGGAAAAAGGAAGTAATGCATGGAAAAAGGAAGTCACATCACCACACTCCTTCCATCACATGGGTTTTATTTTTACAAGCCTAGATGGGCTCCAGTGCTGCCTCAGAGCAACCTTGAAACTTGCCAGTGTGGTGCAGTGGTTAAGAGTGGTAGTCTCGTAATCTGGGGAACCGGGTTCGCATCTCTGCTCCTCCACATGCAGCTGCTGGGTGACCTTGGGCCAGTCACACTTCTCTGAAGTCTCTCAGCCCCACTCACCTCGCAGAGTGTTTGTTGTGGGGGAGGAAGGGAAAGGAGAATGTGAGCCGCTTTGAGACTCCTGAAGGGGAGTGAAAGGCGGGATATCAAATCCAAACTCCTCCTCCTCCTCCTCCTCCTCTTCTTCTTCTTGCACTTTTTGAAACAGTGCATGAACCGAAACGCAGCTACTCTTCAAAATTCACGCTTCTTTCAATTCTGCAGTGTAGTTCTCCAGCCAAAAACACATGTTCTAGAGAGAAAAGCGTGTGTAGAAACAGCATATACACCAGCGGAAAGCACATGCACAAAATAAACCACATTAGACAGCAGCATTCTGGGAAAATGTATAGGTTAGGCAGAATTGCATGTAGAAATGTTGAGCGTTAGGGGAAATTGGCAGGAAAATGCTGCTGAATTTCCACAGGAATGTTTTGTAAAATAAATAAGCCAATTCGCAAACTGATATGGAACTGTAGATATCTGTTTCTCAGCCTCTCTGCTATCAAGCCTTCCCGCATCATGTCGCACATGAATGTTGCCAATATCTCAGGGACCCATGCTGTCCACAGTATGCCATCTCTGCGCAACATCTCCCAGGTCCGTGAGGATACTGTCCGGCCGTACGCTAGTGCCACAGAGGTGAGTGGGGAATCAGGACTTATTGGCCCCCAGGTGGGAAGCAATAACCAAAACCTAGGCAACTTGCAGGAATGAAGGCTGGAGCAATAATGCCTGACATGAATGGAATTTGCTGCCACCGGTCTCTCAGCCAGGATAGTTGCAAGGATATAATTGACAGAGAGAAGCGTGTATGCCAGCTTGAACTCTTAGGAGAAAAGGTGGGATTTAATTTAATAGTAAACAAACTGTCATGGCTGCCCCCAAAGATTTCTGGGAACTTCCATGTGTTATGGTTCTCTTCCCTAACAAATCTTGGCACCCTTAACAACTAGAGTTTCCAGTATGCTTTGGGGAGAAGCACGACCTTTGAAGTGGTATAATACTGCTTTAAAAATCCATGGTATGGATGTGACCCAATAAGCCTTTCCCTTCTGTTGGGGTGACAGAGCTGTATGGGCTGCACATAGCCTAGTGTTTATTTTATTTTCATTCATTTTTACTTTTCTATCCCACCTTTTATACCCTTTCCAGGGAACTCAAGGGGGCTTGTAGTTTTTATCCTCATTTATCCTCACAACAACCCAATGAAGTAGGGTAGGCTGGCCCAGATTCCCACCACATATACACACACACACACACACACACACATATATATATATATATATATATATATATATATATATATATGCTTTCGTAGATTTTCACGGGTACAGGAATGCAGGTTTTGGTGTCCTCGGGTGTCTTCCCGTGTAAAAGTTGGGGTGTCTAGGTGACGTTTCGACGAGGTCTCACTCGTCATCTTCAGGCTGGTGCTTTCGGCTTCTTGTTACTGGAACAGAGCAGGATCTCAGTGTTTGAGTTCCTATAAATACTGTTGAGGGGGTGTGGTGTATAGCCTCCAATGTTCTGGGCAGAGAGGAAGTTCCCAGGCTAGTGTGCCTTTTCTTCTTTTGTTCCTTAATTACTTGAGGGATATCTTGAGTGATTTCTTGAGTGATATTCTGAGTACCACTTAGGTGGGTCATTAGGTGTGGATTAGTTCAAGACACGAAGGCTTGAGCAACTAATCCACACCTAAGGTGGGTCATTAGGTGTGGATTAGTTCAAGACACGAAGGCTTGAGCAACTAATCCACACCTAATGACCCACCTAAGTGGTACTCAGAATATCACTCAAGAAATCACTCAAGATATCCCTCAAGTAATTAAGGAACAAAAGAAGAAAAGGCACACTAGCCTGGGAACTTCCTCTCTGCCCAGAACATTGGAGGCTATACACCACACCCCCTCAACAGTATTTATAGGAACTCAAACACTGAGATCCTGCTCTGTTCCAGTAACAAGAAGCCGAAAGCACCAGCCTGAAGATGACGAGTGAGACCTCGTCGAAACGTCGCCTAGACACCCCAACTTTTACACGGGAAGACACCCGAGGACACCAAAACCTGCATATATATATATGTATATATATTTCCAAACCACCCTTGAATTTTCTACGCCAAGAACAGTATATAAATGAGCCTGATAAATAAAGGTGTCCAGGTGCTATTCTGTTGAATCGTTTTGTGGAGAACTACCCTTCTCCTCTGCCTCAGGCACTGAAATGTATTGGGCTGGTCCTGTTTTTTATGAGTACATTTATCTGTGTTTTCATCTGTGAAATTGTGAGGGGTGTGGATTTAACATCCCTAGCCTGAACACCTGCCCTTTCCCCCATAGCCTTTAATAGCAGCATGGAGAACGGAGCTGAAAGAGGAAGGGACCAAACCACAAGAGAAAGCTGTCTGTAAGAAACTGGCTGCACAGCAACCAACTGAGGAATAGTGAATGGAGAAGAAGAAACCCTTTATCCAGTATTCTCATTTTGCATCAGCACCTATCCCTCCAAGAGATAATGATACTCGGGGTGGAATTCTGAGGACTTTTATATCCCAATAGGTCAGTGCAGAACTGCCTGAGGCAAGTTACAGAGCCACTGAGCTGTTGAGTCAGAAACGGAAACCAAACAAAGGAGGAGGCACAAGCGGCCCTCTAACCCAACCATGTTCCGAGGCTGGGTGGATTTCCTAGGGCAAGGCCACCACACTGCTCCCGCATGACAACAGGTCTTTGCGAAGTGGGATCCAGCTAGGATAGGAGGCCTCCGGCCTTTCTGGTAGCTGATATATGCTCCCACCTTCTTCTTCCTTTCTGAATTAAAGTGGAAGACACACTTCAACCCTTATACTCAAGGTTTACTCTTTAGAGGTGTAAGGAAACTTTTATTTATGTAGAAGTTAAAGGTAAAGGGACCCCTGACCATTAGGGCCAGTTGTGGCCGACACATGGGTTGCGGCGCTCATCTCGCTTTATTGGCCGAGGGAGCCGGCGTACAGCTTCCAGGTCATGTGGCCAGCATGACTAAGCCGCTTCTGGTGAACCAGAGCAGCGCACGGAAACGCCGTTTACCTTCCCGTCAGAGCGGCACCTATTGATCTACTTGCACTTGGACGTGCTTTCGAACTCCTAGGTTGGCAGGAGCAGGGACTGAGCAACGGGAGCTCACCCCGTTGTGGGGATTCAAACCTCCAACCTTCTGATCGGCAAGTCCTAGGCTCTGTGGTTTAACCCACAGCGCCACATAAAGCATTTAAAAACAAACAACACCCCACCTGCCACTCCTCAGCCATAAATGCTACCCCCAAAGAAAAAGGGGGGAAATCTGTTTTGCACACACCCTCCTGTTTTGTGCATTATCAGGGAGCCTCGTCTATGGGTGAACACACTGGAAGCTCACAAAAAGCTTTTTAAATTATTTCATTCACGTTTTCTTCATAGTAGCCTGCAAGATGCCCACACTCTCTCATGCTACACAGCTTGGGAATTACTAGGCTTGGAGATCTGGGACAAGTAATCATTGCAGCTCATCATGAGAAGTAGGAGGGGGAGGGGAACGTTCCTCTCCTCCAGTGTACTTCCTCCCAATTAAGGTTGTTGTTGCAACAACAAAAGTGCATTAATGGTGGAATTATACTAGACTGTTCACACATCATTCCGCCTTATTAGTTGTCCTGCAAAGTTTATGAGATGTTTTTGCATTATTGCAGTCCAGAGGGCCCCTTTTGCACTGCAACGTAACAAAAGCAGGGCAAAAACACCAACTTTGGAACATTTGTGGTATAAGAGGTTGCAGTTTTTCAGCAAGAAGCTACATGATGTGCACCGACCGGGAGCGAAACTGTATGTCCACCCTGAAACATTTGCAGGTATAAACAGCCTTGAAAATGGGCTTATGTATATAACCACCCTCATAGTGTCATGGGCACAAATGATCAGGAACACACAAGAAAAAAATACAACATCTGTAGTGGCCCTGTGGCCCAGTTCTCATCCAAGGAGCTCAGGGCTGAATACCGAGACTGAGTTTACGTGCCCCATCTTATCCTCACAGGAACCCAGGGAGGTGTCTCCGGTGGCACCCAGTGAACAGGGAAAATGGGAGTTGGGTGACCAGCAATATGTGGAGCGCTTTGGACCCAGTTTGGGCCCGAGTCGTCAATTCCTATTCCTCACCCTAACCCGTTTTATTGCCTGCGCTTGACTTACCCAGCAAAGACATGGGAAGACATTGCCTATGACTCGACCCACAGCCTAGACAAGAAAGAAGCATTGCCACAGGTTCAAGGGCACATTCCAGCCAGGCAAAAACACAAAAGGCAGCTGCAAAGCAAGGGTGGTGAAGCGAGAGTGGTCTGAAGAGGTTCAAGGGACAGATAAAGAGGCCCAAGAGGCTTTTTGGGACTGAGGATTCGCGTTCCTGTCCTAGGGGGAGCCCTCAGCCAGCTGTATTACTCAAAAGAAGGGTTAATATCTGGGCTTTTCTGAGTGGGAACTTGCTCCGAGGCAGCTGAAAGGCGCAGGCGAGAGAAAGCGAACTTTGGACCTCCGCCCCATCACTCAAGAGTGGTATGCAGTCCACTCCAGTGATAAAACTGGTAAATCCCACCCTGACTCAATGTTCCAAGGGGTAGGGGGAATAAAAGAAGAAATTATGCAAATTAAACATGCATTTTCTTATTTTGCGCCATTTGTTCTCCCATCATGGAGGGGCAAGGTACAAAGCAAAGAACTGAAGCCCCCACCCTCCAACTCCAGCTTTGCCAAAGGCGAATTAGTAGTGACAACCAGGTGCTTGCTGCCCACATGATTTGAATCCTGGCTTTCATGAGGGCTAGAAGGATTGTTTTCCCCCTGAAAGCTGTGATTTGGGGGATACTCCAGGTAGCAAGGCAGTGCATGGTAAGATCACGTAAACATGGAACATCCATAGCCTGAGACTTGCTGTTTCTCTGATAACATCCATTTGCTGGGTTCTGGTGGTTTGCCTTCCCCCCTCTCAGTTCCCTTCAGGAATCTTGGGCACTGCCTGCCCATCCTACTCCCAAGTAATTCTGGGTTCAGATGTGTTAATAGGTCACAAGTTCTGGCCCATCCTGGCAATCAGAAGCCCCCAAATACTTTCTTTCCGGGAACACCGGTTCACAAACACCCAAAGCATTCACAATTGCTATGCGCCTTCCATCCCGAGAGGTGTCTTGGCTGGTGCCCCAGAAGTTTCCGGGGTCCCTGGGCTGCTCTTCCTCTGCTGGATGTGTCCCAGCAGCATCGTGACTGCCTGCTCAAAGACTTGCGGTAAGATCTCTTGCTCAGCTCTGGTGAACCTGCCCAATACGTAGTGTTCCACGGCAGCTTCTCCCACTGGGCGGCCGATCCCTATCCTGAGTCGGACCATACGCTGAAGGGGGGAGAGAAAGAGAGAGAGAAAGGGGGGGGGAGTTGGTTTTGTTCTGCCCAGTAACATACACCAGAATTGCTGGTGTGGTGCTTACCAGTTATCATGTGTTTGGATCCAACAGCAGACACACCGAACCATGGTTTGCCCTAACCAGTTTCATAACCCAAACCATGGTTATAGCTTCCAAATGTACAACCACAGCCATACAACCTACAGTTCAGAACAGCTTGCTTGCTTTCATTTCCCACCTGCTCAGAGCTCTGGTCTTTGGTGTGGTGGCCTCCCAAGGTGAGGCAGCTGTTGTAACGATTGTCAGTCAATTCAGACAGCACATCAAACCATGGTTTGCAAATTTCAAATACTGGCTTCAGAGTACGGTTTCCCACATGACTGTAAACCATGGTTTTATTTGATTTTTGGTCATTTCAGTCACCATGTGAAAAGACTGTTAAGCTTCCTTAACCATAGTTTGCTGTCTACGTTGAGGCTGCGTATTTTGGACTTGACCAATCTTATGGTTTGAGAGGTTAAGTGACCCAATTCTTATGGTTTGAGAGAGGCAGCTGACAGTCTTGGTGTTTAACCTGTCCAACCCTCACTTGCTGGTGAGTGTGGGGCAGGGGAGATACATGAAAGAGGTGTATAAGATAGTTCATAGCATGAAGAAAGTGCAGCGAGAAAGGTTTTTCTCCCTCTCTCACTGCACTAGAACTCTGGCACATTCAAGCAAGCTGAACACTGGAAGATTCCAGACAGACGAAGGAAAGTGCTTCTTTACACAATGCATAGTCCACCTAAGGAATATTTTACCCTAAGAGGCAGTGATGACCACCATCTTGGATGGCTTTAAAAGACACAACTTCATGGAGGATAAGGCTACCAGTGGCCCCTAGCTGTGATGGCTAAGTTCTCTCTCCACTGCTTCCAAATGCCAGTGCTAGGAACTGCAAGTGGGGAGAATGCTGTTGCGCTCAGGTTCTGCTTACAGGCTTCCTACTGCAGCATCTGTTTGGCCACTGGGAGAGCAGGATGCTGGACATGACGGGGCATTGTCCCAATCCAGCAGCCAGGCTCTTAAGTTCTTATTATGCCCAAGTACTTTCTGGAGAAAAGCAATGACAAACCTAGACAGCATCTTAAAGAGCAGAGACATCACCTTGCCGACAAAGGTCCGTATAGTTCAAGCTATGGTTTTCCTGGTGGTGATGTATGGAAGTGAGAGCTGGACCATCAAGAAGGCTGATGGCCGAAGAATTGATGCTTTTGAATTCTGGTGCTGGAGGAGACTCTTGAGAGTCCCATGGACTGCAAGAAGATCAAACCTCTCCATTCTGAAGGAAATCAGCCCTGAGTGCTCACTGGAAGGACAGATCCTGAAGCTGAGGCTCCAATAATTTGGCCACCTCATGAGAAGAGAAGACTCCCTGGAAAAGACCCTGATGCTGGGAAAGATGGAGGGCACAAGGAGAAGGGGACGGCAGAGGACGAGATGGTTGGAGAGTGTTCTAGAATCTACCAGCATGAGTTTGACCAAACTGTGGGAGGCAGTGGAAGACAGGAGTGCCTGGTGTGCTCTGGTCCAGGGGGTCACGAATAGTCGGACATGACTAAGTGACTAAACAACAACAGCAACTTTCTTTCCATGCCTCTTCTAATAAGCTTGGGGAGGGGAGAGGAGAGGAGGGATAGAGACCCAGGGACGAGGAGCAGCTGCTTCTCTCAACCCTGCCCTACCCTCACTCATCTTCCCTGAGAGGCAATTTCCAAAATGTAACCTCCCCTCTCCGCCTCCTCCTTCCCACTCTGCTGTTACCTCTCAGGCAGCACAAGGGGGGGTCAGGGGTTGCCTTTACTAATCAGCAGACTATTGAGGCGGAATTGAAGCTTTACTTCTAAGAATTACATAAGAATATAGGAAGAGCCTACTGGATCAGGCCAATGGTCCATCTAATCTAGCATCCTGTTTTCACAGGGGCTGGAAAGATACCTTTGGGAAAACCACAAGCAGGATACAAGCACAAGAGCAGCACTCTCATCTCACATGGTTAACTAGGTTAACATAGCTTAACTAGGTGCTGCTTAAAGAAGCACTTGCTTTCATCTGTCCTGAATCTTCCAACATTCTCCTAAGGTAGAAAGGTAAAGGACCCCTGGACAGTTAGGTCGAGTCAAAGGTGACTCTGAGTTTGCGGTGCTCATCTTGCTTTCAGGCCGAGGGAGCCAGCGTTTGTCCACAGACAGCTTTCTGGCCAGCCTGACGAAGCCGCTTCTGGTGCAATGGAACACCGTGACACAAACCAGAGCGCATGGAAATGCTGTTTACCTTCCCACCACAGTGGTACCTATTTATCTACTTGCACTGGTGTGCTTTCGAACTGCTAGGTGGGCAGGAGCTGGGGCAGAGCAACGGGAGCTCACCCCGTCATGGAGATTTGAACCGCCGA